AATCCTTTAACTGATTTGTAGTCTACCGGTACTTAAATTTTTAAGTAGTTATAACAACTTTTTAAATGACAATTATGTTTCTACTCGTTCTTTGAAATATAAACATTTAAATGGCTGTCATAAAAACATGATGGATTTATTCATATTGAAGAATATTTGAATATTGAATAGTTGAATATTGAACAGGTTAAAATACAATGAATATGCAATCGTGTATTTTGCTAAATGCTCCTCTATAGTTTTTCTTTCCGAGGTTTGAAACACTGATTGACTGATTACATGAGACATGATACAGATCTTTCAACATCTTCTAATGTTCATTCATGTTTATTTGGTGATAACTGGTAGTAAAGAGGAAGAGATGGTCAGTTCACGACGTGCTGCTTGAACTGAGACTACAGTAATCTGTCACGCCCAGGTCACGCCACATTAAAGAGTGCCAAAACGCTATTTAATGTTTGAATTTCATAATAAAATTGACAGAATTTGAAAGCTGAGATGTTTCATATCAAAAGTGACAAAGCTTGCTGCGATTTATTGGATTAACTTTCAAAGAATCCTGAAAAAAATCACTGTTTCCACAAAAATGTGAAGCAGCAAAACGGTTTTCAACATTGATAATAATAATAAATGTTTCTTGAGCAGCAAATCAACATATTGGAATGATTTCTGAAAGATCATGTGACACTGAAGACTGGAGTAATGATGCTGAAAATTCAGCTTTGATCACAGGAATAAATGGCACTATATGAAAATAGAAAACAGTAATTTTAAATTATAATAACATTTCACAATATTACTGTGTTTGTTTAGGGTTTTTGATCAAATAAATGCAGCCTTGGTGAGCAGAAGAGACTTCTTTCAAAAAATATAAAAAAATCTTACTGAGCCCAAATTTTTAACAGTATATATACCACGTTTACTATTGGGATATTATATATTCTAAGAAAGGGACATTGAAAATATCATAAATGTCACATGCCTGTCCTGTCTTGTGTTGCACTTGGGTGTTTGTTGTTTGGTACCATGTGTTCTCTTGTCATTGTATACCCCGCCCATCTTGTTATCTCATTATTGGTTCATTTGCCCCACCTGTCTGTTCGTTAGCCTCCTTTGTTTGCCTCTCTATTTAATCTCCTTGTGTTCTCAGTACTGTGCTGGTTCGTTGTCCATGTTACCCTGGTTCATGTTAATCGTGTTTTAGTGTATCTTGTATCCTGCCTGTTTTCTATCTAGTTTTCCCCCACGAGGGAGTTTTTGTTCTTGTTTTATGTGTTATTATTTTCTTAATAAATACCCATTGTTTGCACTTGAGTCCTCACACCTTTTTCCCAACCCGTTCCGTGACAGAACGAACCAGCCATCTGAGGATTCAGCACGATGGGTGAGGAGGATTCTGATTGTTGGGATTATGACGCTTGCATGGATGACGATGACTTGGATTGCCCGGACTATAGTATTGCTACATTTGGATCGACACAATTCTCGACGATCTGTTGTGACGGAAGGACTTCGCCAAAACCTATTTCCAGCGGTATGGTTTCGAACTTCTCTTCCCCAGCCACTGAGCGGGAGAGGACCCATTTTCAGGGGACCCGCCTGGTAATTTTTCGTGGGACTCGGGGAGGTCGTGGAGGAGGAGGTGGTAGAGAGGAGGTTCAACACCACCTTCCATCCTGGCCCCCCTTCCATCCTGGGCCAGTGAGAGACAGTTCAGGACCAACTTCTCGCCGTCACGGACGGAAAGGGAGGAGGGGACGCACATCTGTCCAGCGAGAGACTGTCCACGTCCCGTCTGCCCAGCGAGAAACTGTCCACGTCCCGTCTGCCCAGCGAGAGACTGTCCACGTCCCGTCTGCCCAGCGAGAGACTGTCCACGTCCCGTCTGCCCAGCGAGAGACTGTCCACGTCCCGTCTGCCCAGCGAGAGACTGTCCACGTCCCGTCTGCCCAGCGAGAGACTGTCCACGTCCCGTCTGCCCAGCGAGAGACTGTCCACGTCCCGTCTGCCCAGCGAGAGACTGTCCACGTCCCGTCTGCCCAGCGAGATACGGTTAACGTTCTGTCTGCCTTCCTGAGCTGGGACTATCTGGAGCGTCTGGCTCGGATATTGGACATGCCCGTGCCAGAGGCAGAGGCCGTGCCCGTGCCAGAGGCAGAGGCCGTGCCCGTGCCAGAGGCAGAGGCCGTGCCCGTGCCAGAGGCAGAGGCCGTGCCCGTGCCAGAGGCAGAGGCCGTGCCCGTGCCAGAGGCAGAGGCCGTGCCCGTGCCAGAGGCAGAGGCCGTGCCCGTGCCAGAGGCAGAGGCCGTGCCCGTGCCAGAGGCAGAGGCCGTGCCCGTGCCAGAGGCAGAGGCCGTGCCCGTGCCAGAGGCAGAGGCCGTGCCCGTGCCAGAGGCAGAGGCCGTGCCCGTGCCAGAGGCAGAGGCCGTGCCCGTGCCAGAGGCAGAGGCCGTGCCCGTGCCAGAGGCAGAGGCCGTGCCCGTGCCAGAGGCAGAGGCCGTGCCCGTGCCAGAGGCAGAGGCCGTGCCCGTGCCAGAGGCAGAGGCCGTGCCCGTGCCAGAGGCAGAGGCCGTGCCCGTGCCAGAGGCAGAGGCCGTGCCCGTGCCAGAGGCAGAGGCCGTGCCCGTGCCAGAGGCAGAGGCCGTGCCCGTGCCAGAGGCAGAGGCCGTGCCCGTGCCAGAGGCAGAGGCCGTGCCCGTGCCAGAGGCAGAGGCCGTGCCCGTGCCAGAGGCAGAGGCCGTGCCCGTGCCAGAGGCAGAGGCCGTGCCCGTGCCAGAGGCAGAGGCCGTGCCCGTGCCAGAGGCAGAGGCCGTGCCCGTGCCAGAGGCAGAGGCCGTGCCCGTGCCAGAGGCAGAGGCCGTGCCCGTGCCAGAGGCAGAGGCCGTGCCCGTGCCAGAGGCAGAGGCCGTGCCCGTGCCCGAGGCAGAGGCCGTGCCCGTGCCCGAGGCAGAGGCCGTGCCCGTGCCCGAGGCAGAGGCCGTGCCCGTGCCCGAGGCAGAGGCCGTGCCCGTGCCAGAGGCAGAGGCCGTGCCCGTGCCAGAGGCAGAGGCCGTGCCCGTGCCAGAGGCAGAGGCCGTGCCTGTTCCGGACCTTGTGTTTGTGTCTGTCCTTGTTCTAGTGTCTGTTCCTGAGCCGGTGCTTGTCCCTGAGCCGGAGGCAGAGCCGGTGCCTGTCCCTGAGTCGGAGCTCATGTCAGTTCCGGACCCAGTGTTTGTGTCTGTGTTTGTGTCTGTCCTTGTGACTGTTTTTGTTCTAGTGTCTGTTCCCGAGCCGGTGTCTGTTCCCGAGCCGGTGTCTGTTCTTGAGCCGGTGTCTGGTCCTGAGAGGGCTTCACCGTCCTGGCCACCCGAAAGGTCTGCTCCACCCTGGCCGCCCGAGGGGTCTTCACCGCCCTGGCCACCTGAGGGGTCGTCACCGCCCTGGCCACCCGAAAGGTCTGCACCGCCCCGGCCACCCGAGAGGTCTTCACCGCCCTGGCCACCCGAAAGGTCTGCTCCGCCCTGGCCGCCCGAGGGGTCTGCACCACCCTGGCCACCTGATGGACTTCGTGTTTCGTCCTGGCCACCCGATGGACTTTGTGTTTCGCCCGGGTCTCCCAGGACTAAGATTTGTTCCTCCAGTCCCGCCCTGGTCTGTCCCTCCCGTCCCGCCCTGGTCTGTCCCTCCCGTCCCGCCCTGGTTTGTCCCTCCCGTCCCGCCCTGGTTTGTCCCTCCCGTCCCGCCCTGGTTTGTCCCTCCCGTCCCGCCCTGGTTTAATCCTCCCGTCCCGCCCTGGTTTGCTCCTCCCGTCCCGCCTGATGGAGCGTCTGGTAGCCGCTCCGTAGGGAGGGGGTAATGTCACATGCCTGTCCTGTCTTGTGTTGCACTTGGGTGTTTGTTGTTTGGTACCATGTGTTCTCTTGTCATTGTATACCCCGCCCATCTTGTTATCTCATTATTGGTTCATTTGCCCCACCTGTCTGTTCGTTAGCCTCCTTTGTTTGCCTCTCTATTTAATCTCCTTGTGTTCTCAGTACTGTGCTGGTTCGTTGTCCATGTTACCCTGGTTCATGTTAATCGTGTTTTAGTGTATCTTGTATCCTGCCTGTTTTCTATCTAGTTTTCCCCCACGAGGGAGTTTTTGTTCTTGTTTTATGTGTTATTATTTTCTTAATAAATACCCATTGTTTGCACTTGAGTCCTCACACCTTTTTCCCAACCCGTTCCGTGACAATAAACACTTCCATTTGGCAAATAATAATATGAATATTTGGGTATCTCCCTATGCTGGTTCTGTAATATCTGGTCCTGTTTTTTTTTTTTTTTTTTACTTTTTGAACAATAATAAAAATGTCCCTGAGTATTTCTAGCACATAGGGAGCGTTTCCAGAGAATAACCCATGAGACTTTGATTGCAATGCTTTCAAAGGCTGCTACAGCTCATACTAATGTCCTTAATCTTAAACAGCAGAGGCGCAGTCAGACTGAAGTGTTTGATTGGGGACAATCACTCTGAAACAGTGCTTGATTACATGCACATAATTAACATTTTAAATGCTCTTGCATGCAATGCATATATACACATTTGTGTGCATACGTATGTTGAAATGGTTCTTGACAACTGCTACTTCATTAACAGCCAGAGGAAACACAGAGTTGAAATGAAACGCAGTATATTTTTTAAAATTGCAATGAATTCTTCTCAGCGTCAGTTTTCAATAACCACAATATGGCATAGTGACTGTCCATTGAAAAAGAAGAAATATCACCTTTGTGCTAATGCAATCTGAAGTCACGTTTTCCTGTGCTGGTATTAGTATTACATTTCTCACTCTATTTCAGCATGCACACATATGCACATGCTCTCTCTGTCTGTAAAGTGGGTCAGGACAGCATCCACAATTGATTGTAATTTTTGTTTTAGAGTGCGAGTGTCTGAAAATGGATGTATGAGTTGTGTTATAAATGAGACGTGCATTTCTATGCATCACTGACTCGTTCAATTTTCTCTCTCTCTGCAGGTGTTGTGTAGTTTGCATCCTGAGTGTGAATATATTTTTCAGTTGGCAAGAGATGAACAGCGGTGTCTGCGAGAGATCACAGAACCTGGGAACCTCAGCAGCTCCTCAGGTAAATAAACCGAAGCTCCTGATGGGATGTTGAAGGGGTTTGTCGTCCACAGGACACGAGACACATGCTAAACACTGAGATTACATTAAGATCAAGCGGAGACCTTTTTTTTTAGGCATCCCGCATCTCAGATTTTTCTCTTCAGAAAAAGATCCTAGTACTCATGTGCGAGTCTCAAACTGCACTCTTGCAATTACTGAGACACCGAAGTCTGCAATCAAAAGTCCGAGATCTCAATATGAACCCAAATATTTCTCAGATGTATTCGAGACTAAATATTATGAGTGATACTACCGTTCAAAATTCAGGGTTGGTAAGATTATCCCCCGGTTTCACAGTCTTTTGACTAAAATGCTGTTTTAACTGAAAGTAACTTGCATTGTGTGAAGAAGAGTCAGAGGCGTCCGAATCCATGTGCAATAACTTTAATGATGAACACAAACAGGCAGAAAACAGAGGAAGCACAGGGTAGAATATATACTGGGGCAGTCCAAACTCAGAGTGGTTACCAGGCAAGGGTCGAAGGCAGGCGGGAAACGTTCACAGAGTAATGGGTAAAACAGGCGAGAATCGAGGAACCAGGAATACGTGGAAATATAGAAGATTGCTCAGAGTTGCACGCCGTGGCAGTAACAAGACCTCACAGAGAACAAAGGGGAGCAAGGTCCAGATAAAGGGGAGCTGAGTGGGAACAGGTGGCTGAGATGATGGAGATGAGACAGGGATGGAAGGAGGTGATTAGTGAAGGGAGTGATGGGAAATGAAGTCCTAGAACTCAGGAGAGAGTGATCTGGTGAGGCCAGGAGGAGGCGTCGTGGAGCGCATCGTGACACACTGATATATCTTAAAATATGTCATAAAGATGCACATCAGTAAAGTGTTTTCTAAGGCACGTTTATAAAAGCTACTTAAATATCCTAATTGAACTAAGGTCTAATCCTGGTTTAATCTAAACCCTGTCTGTGAAACTGGGCCTTAGGCTTTTAATGATTTTGAAAGAAGTCTCTTCTGCGCTGCATTTTTAAAAATCAATAATTAGGGTTGGGAATCGAAAATCAATTCTAATTCTGGAATCGGATACTTAAGGTCAGGAATCGAATACATGCTATAAAAGTAAGATCTTGATTCCGCTTCTTGATTCCTGTGTGCACATTTTATTGTGGTTTTAAACCGTTCAAGCGCAAGAAGATGTGCACAAAACACCGCCTCTCATATAGTGCCCGAATACCTGATTGAGTTCCTGTATACGTCTTCTTGCACTTGAACGGACAAACACACAGAAAATTATGTCAAAATATTCTCGTTAACACAATCGGTTATGTCTTAAGTGAATGTAAACCAGTCCTTCCAGAAAAATGCGGAGTTTTTTTTGTGATTGTTGCGGGCAAAAATCCTTGATTATGCGGCCCGTTTTCTTAAAAAATGCGATGGAATATGCTGGATAATTTTATGCGATGAAATTGCAAAAACTGTGGGAACTTGCAAAAACTGCGGGAACTTGCAAAAATCCTTGATTATGCGGCCCGTTTTTGCTGGATGCTGGATATTTATGCGATGAAATTGCGGGAACTTGCAAAAACTGCGGTTTGATGAAAAAGAGAGAAAAAAAAAGTGACCAACACCCTGTTCTCACTAGGCTCCTACCTTAATGTAAAAAGTAATTTCTTATTACTTCCTATGATAAGGAAGCATACATCACAGAAAGTGCTGGGAATATTTAAGTTCTCGTCTTGTTTTATTTCAGACCTTAATAAAAAATATCAAACTTACAAAACATTGATGAGTCAAACAAGTTCTGTAGCTTTACAAAAGGAATATGCTACAACTTCTGTAAAAATGAATAAATAAAAAATAAAAAAAATAAAGTATGCTCCTGTTTTACAGCTTTTCGATGATGTTCATGTTGCGTAATTACGTCACTTCATAACGTTCCCATGACAACAGGGGGAAACGGCTGCTCTTGTGTGAAGTAAATTTTTTTGCAACGAAAATGCGAGGATTATGAAATCATGCAAGGCCTGCATATTTTGCACGGAAATCGGCAATTTATGCGGCGAAAGTGCGGCGTATTTGAAAAAAAAAATGGCCCCGCATAAATATGCGGACACTAAATCATGCGATCGCATAATCACGTTTTTCTGGAGGGACTGGTAAACAGTTGAGTAAGAAAACGCATGCATGTGACCTGTTCATTAAGTCTTAAAGTGACAGCAGCCTAATAAACCTGTTGCCGTCTCTGTCATTACTGTTAATAAAAGAAAATCACTCACTGATCTTGACTGAATAACTTTTGTTACTTTAAAAAAGATGAATCTATATTTTATTTATAAAAAGAAAACTATGCAGTGTTATTTTACACTTGATTTCAATTTCTGAACATTGTTCAGTTGTATTTATTTGTGCTAATTTGCTTGTTTAATTGCTGAGTGTATACTTGTCTTTAATAATGTTTGAAATTTATGTTGGTCTAGTTTATTAGTTAGTTGTTCTTTAGGCTGCTGATTTTTGTCCATGGTATTCAGCTGCAACTAAATGTTTTGCAAAAATGTATCAAAACGTTTGATATCTAAATGTTTGACTTTTGACATCGAAACTGGTAATCAATAAGAATCGGAATCGATAAGCAGAATCGGAATAACTAAAATTCAAACGACGCACAACCATCATAAAAATAATACAGTAAAAACAGTAATATTGGGAAATATGTTTTCTATTTGAATATATTGTAAAATGTAATTGAAGAAAGCTGAATTGTGCTGACTGTGACCAGTCTTCAGCGTCACATGATCCTTCGGAAATCATTCTAATATGTTGATCTGATGCTCAAAAAACATTTTTCTGACCAAAAAAAAACAAAACAAAAAAACGTCTCAGGTTACGTATGTAACCCTGGTTCCCTGAGAGGGAACGAGACGCTGCGTTTGAGACGCGGTGGGAACGCTCTGCGTGATTGCGTCATGAAGCACGTGTAAAATCAGTCCAATGGAAGCCCGATACGTCATAGGTGACGTCATAGACCAGGAAACTATAAAGCACCCTTGAAAACAGACCGCGACAGCTTCTGAAAAGTCTGAAGTAAGTCGATCAGGGTATGCAGGAAGTATGGCAGGCAAACGCAGCGTCTCGTTCCCTCTCAGGGAACCAGGGTTACATACGTAACCTGAGACGTTCCCTTTCAAGGGAACTTCGAGCTGCGTTTGAGACGCGGTGGGAACCCCATACCCACTACGCCATAGTGACAAATGCCCGTTCTGTGTGAAGTCCTTGGCGCACACTAAGAAGCAAGCAACCTCGCCCCAGGAGTGGAGAGGTCAAGGTCATAAAACCTGACAAATGTATGCGGAGAGGACCATCCTGCCGCATTACAAATGTCAAGAAGGGAAACACCCGAAATTAAGGCCGTAGAGGCCGCCATACTCCTTGTAGAATGGGCCCGTACAGCCATAGGTGAAGGCTGACCGGCCGCTTCATAAGCCAATGATATAGCCTCGACTATCCACTTGCTCATAACCTGTTTCGATGCAGGGCACCCTCTTCTGAGTGACCCAAAACATACAAATAATTGCTCTGACTTACGCCACAGGGCAGCTCTGTGAACGTAGGCATCCAATGCCCGAACTGGACATAACAGGTTCAGTTGTTCCTGATCTGGGGTATTAAAAGGTGGAGGATAAAAGGCCTGCAACACTATTGGGCCCCCAACATTAACTGGGACCTTAGGCATATAACCCGGTCTAGGGTATAGAAATGCTTTCACCATACCAGGTGCAAATTCCAGGCATGAAGGAGCAACCGACAGGGCATGCAAATCTCCAATTCTCTTGATAGACGAAATAGCAAGGAGAAACAAAGCTTTCAAAGTGAGGAATTTTTCTGAAACCTCTTCAATAGGCTCGAAGGGAGCCAGAGCCAGACCCTCAAGTACAATGGCTAAATCCCAAGCCGGTGCTCTAGAGTGCAGTGCAGGTCTCAACCTCAATGTACCACGGAGAAAACGAATAATCAGAGGATCTCTCCCAATAGAAGTACCCCCCAGAGGGGTATGATAGGCCGATATAGCCGCCACATAAACTTTTAAAGTGGAAGGAGATAACCCAGCAGAGAAACGGTCTTGCAGAAAATCGAGAACTGGACCAACAGGGCAGTTAACAGGATCTAACTGACGCTCACCACACCAGGTGGAGAATAATTTCCATTTCAGCGCATACAATCTTCTCGTGGAAGGGGCTCTGGAATGGAGAATGGTCTCAACGACCTCAGTCGAGAGACCGGATTCTATGAGCCTGGCCCCCTCAGAGGCCAGGCCCACAGTTTCCACAACTCCGGCCGAGGGTGAAAAATCGTGCCCTCTACCTGGGACAACAGGTCCTTCCTGATTGGAATCTCCATGGGAGAGCCGCTCAGAAGAGACACCAAGTCCGAGAACCAAACTCGAGTCGGCCAGTAAGGGGCTACTAGTAGCAGACGGGCCCCTTCCCGGCGAACCCTCTCCAGAACCCCCGGGAGCAATGATATCGGGGGAAACGCATACAGGTGTAGCCTCGGCCAAACCTGCACCATCGCATCCAGTCCGAGAGGAGCTGGGTGTGTGAGAGAGAACCACATGGGACAATGAGTTGTAACTGAGGATGCGAAAAGGTCTATCTGAGCACGACCAAATTTCTTCCACAGGAGCTCCACCACCTCGGGGTGAAGTCTCCACTCCCCGGGCCTCAGCCCCTGCCTCGACAGTATATCTGCTCCCACATTCTGACGCCCCGGAATGTAAACTGCTCTGAGAGATAGCAAATTCTTTTCCTGGGCCCACAGGAGAATCTGATGGGCCTGCTTGCAAAGGTGACGTGACCTCAGACCCCCCTGATGGTTGATATATGAAACCACTGACGTGTTGTCCGTACCGACCAACACATGATGGCCTCTCAGGTCTGGCAGGAAATATTTGAGAGCTCGAAATACCGCCATCATCTCCAAACGATTTATGTGCCATGACAGATGATGGTCCTGCCAAAGACCTTGCCCCGAGCGGCCACTCATGACCGCCCCCCATCCCGTGAGGGAAGCATCCGTCGAAAGCGTGACGCGTCGACAAGAAGCCCCCAGCACTGGGCCCTGGGCGAGGAACCAAGGTTTCTTCCACATGACCAAAGCACGAAGGCATAGCCGCGTGACCTTGATCTTGCGGAACGGATTTCCCCTCGGAGAAAACCCCTTGGTTCTGAGCCACCACTGCAGGGGTCTCATGTACAGCAGGCCAAAAGTAATCACGTTGGACGCTGCTGCCATGAGCCCCAACAGTCTCTGAAACTGTTTCACAGTGAGTGACTGGCCTAGTTTCACATTTTTTACGGCTGAGAGAATCGCAGAGATGCGAGCAGGAGATAAACGAGCCTGCATTGTGGTCGAATCCCAAATTACACCTAAAAAAGTGGTCCTCTGAGTAGGGAGGAGAACACTCTTCTTGGTGTTGAGCCGCAACCCCAACTCCTTTATGTGAGACAGAACGACATCTCGATGCCGAACCGCCAACTGCTCTGACTGAGCTAAAATCAACCAATCGTCGATATAATTTAAAACGCGAATGCCCTGGAGTCTCAAGGGAGCCAGAGCTGCATCCACGCATTTTGTAAAGGTGCGGGGTGATAAACCTAGGCCAAACGGCAGAACCTGATACTGGTATGCTTCGCCCCCGAAAGCGAACCTCAGGAACTTCCTGTGATGAGGATGGATAGATACATGGAAGTAAGCGTCTTTCAGGTCTATTGTGACAAACCAGTCCTCGGACTGAATCTGTGAAACAATTTGCTTGAGTGTGAGCATCCTGAACTTGAGTTTCTGAACTCTGCTGTTTAACTGGCGCAGATCTAGAATAGGACGCAACCCTCCATCCTTTTTCGGAACAATGAAATAACGGCTGTAAAACCCTGACTCTCTGTTGGGAGGAGGCACCCTCTCTATTGCTCCTTTTTTTAGAAGTGTCAGAACTTCCTGCTCCATAACCAGAGCCTGCTGTGAGTCCACCACTGTGGGAAGGACCCCTTGAAATCTGGGCGGACGAGAACCGAACTGAATTCTGTAACCCTTTTCTATTATGTGCAGGACCCATAAAGAAATATTTGGCAGAAGTTTCCACGCTGCCAGAAATTCTGATAAGGGAACCAGCCTCTCGAGACTGGCCTCTGGGTTTGATTGAACAATCATTTCGGCGCCCTGAATCGGCGAACCGGCAGGGAACAACCGAACTGACCGTTCTACAACCCTCCTCAGAGGATTGCACGGGGACGCTGACACCTCGGTGCCCTGAAACGGCGAACCGGCAGGGAACAACCGACGTGGCAACGCTGCGACTCTCCTCGGAGAATCGCCCCCCGGAGGACGCCAAAGAGAAACGGTTCCTCGGAATCGTTCCTCCTTGGAGGGGACCACCCTCAGAAGCCTGGCACACTTGGCGTCAGGACTTCTTCTTAGACCAGGCTCTCTTGGAGATGACATTCCTCAGATCCTGTCTACCCACAACAGGCCTGGACTGCGAACGCCACTCGGGAACCCCAGACTGTGGAGGAGCCCGAGCAGCGACGCTCTGTTTCTGCTGAAATCGGTGTGCGGAGCTCGTAGACGGACGAGGCTGCTCAATTTTCATATTACGTGCAGCCTCGGGGACACTGGACCGGCGAGGAAGAAACCTCTGAAACGCAGCTGCTTGTTTTTTATTTTCTTGGAACCTATCGACAACACAATTTATAGCATCGCCGAACAGACTTGTAGGTGAAAGCGGTGCGTCCAGAAGAACAGATCTATCTTTATCTTTAATTTCAGAGAGATTCAACCATAAATGACGTTCCGTGGCCACCAGGGCTGCCATAGAACGGCCCACAGATTTAGCCGTCTCCTTGGTGGCCCGGAGAGATAGATCAGTTGTGCGACGTAATTCACGAACAGTATCAGCACTAACTTCCTCACATTGATCCATCTCCTTCAGCAGGTCAGCCTGATAAGCTTGTAATATTGACATAGTATGTAAGCAAGCTGCAGCCTGACCTGCTGCCGAATACGCTTTACCCACCAGTAAAGATGTATTTTTTAATGGTCTGGTGGGTAACGTCGGGGCTTTCAGTGATGACGCTGACTCGGGGGAGAGATAGCTCGCGAGCGTCTCTTCCGCACGAGGCATCGTCAAATAACCATAATTATCAATACCTCTAACTTTGCTGTAATTACTAGTTTGAGGATTATGAACTCTGAAAGACGCCGGTTTATTCCAAGATCTGGACACCTCAGTGTGAAGATCAGGAAAAAACGGGAGTTCCCGACGAGGAGGTCGTGATCTAGATGGTAAAAATCGTTCATCTAAAAGACTCTTTCTTGATTCAACATCAATATCATCAGCTGGCCACTCAATATTTAATTTAGTAACAGCACGAGATAAAACCTCCATAAGCTCCTCATCAGCAGGGGTATGAGCTGGCGAAAACTCAAATTCCCCCATATCCACGACATCCAGTTCCTCAGAACTGGATAGCCGCAACAGTGGTGTCTCAGCCTAGGGAGGAGAAACCGCAGAGCGGGCTCCTTCCTAGGCTGGGACACCGGATCCAGCAGGTAAGGGCTGAGAAAGGGCTGGGCCCGTCTCAAACCCCGCTACTAGATCCATATGTGAACCCCAAGATGAACGCCGCCGCAGTGCCTCGGCAGCTGCGGGACCCGCACCTCGGGGAACACGAACCGAACCATCCTCATCAAAGAATGCCCGGCGAGAGCGGAGAGTTTTCATGGACAAACTCATGCAATGCTCGCAGTCAGCCCCCTCGAGGACCGACTGGGCATGCTCCACCCCCAAACAAGCAACACACATCTGATGTGTGTCCCCACCCGTAATGAAACGAGGGCAAGGGACAACACAACGTTTGTAATCTTGCTTGCTCGCCATAGTGATATATATACAGACAGACAGACAACAATAAATAGACAAGGACAGAGTCACAGAGAGCGCTTACTGAAGACAACAGAAGCTGTCGCGGTCTGTTTTCAAGGGTGCTTTATAGTTTCCTGGTCTATGACGTCACCTATGACGTATCGGGCTTCCATTGGACTGATTTTACACGTGCTTCATGACGCAATCACGCAGAGCGTTCCCACCGCGTCTCAAACGCAGCTCGAAGTTCCCTTGAAAGGGAACAGTTGCGCTGCTTCATATTTTTGTGGTAAATGTGATATTTTTTCTGGATTCTTTGATTAATAGAAAGCTCAAAAGAAAAGCAATTTATTTAAAATATAAATCTTTTGTAACATTTTTAACTTTTGATCAATTTAATGCATCATTGCTGAATGATAATATTTATTCATTTAAAATTAAAAATCTTCCTGACCCTAAACTTTTGAATGGTAGTGTATACTATTCACATTTTAGAAATAAAATATTAATTTATTCTACATAAAAAAGAGAACATTAGAAAATATTCTGCTGCTACTTTAAAAAATATATACTTTGTACTGTAGCCATAACATATCAATAATGTCTCCTGTCAAGCATTTGAACTTTTACATTGACTTTTAATGACTATACTTCATTTCTTTTTTTTATTTTAAATGACATACAAAAACAGGTCACAAACCCATTAGATGACATTTAAAATGAATCACATCTGCACAGCATTTTACACTGCCATAAGCGGACCGTGGTGACATTCAGAGACAGAGGTTAACACGAGATCACACTCATTGTAATGCAGCGCCTTGCGTTTGCATTTCCCAGCATGTTTTCCAATGGCTTTGCTGGAAATTCACAGATGTTCTTGTGCCGATCCAACACAGAAAACTGGACTGTAATACAGTAATTCTAGCTGTGATGTGCCACGGAAAGCCTTTCAGAAACATTGTTTTCTTGATGTTTGGTGCTTGAGTGCATGAGTAGTTATAAGGTCATGCTATTTATATATATATGTGTGTGTATATGTGTGTGAAGGTTGCCCACCAGTATGGGACTCTGTAGTGTGTTGGCCCAGAGCTGCAGTGGGTGAGACCGTCCACAATCCCTGTCCCGCTGTTTTCTCTCTCTTCAAGAACAACACAGGTATGACACACACACACACACACACTATATGTCCACTTCAGGGTTGTGCACAATTCAAAAATGAATTGAAAATGCAGTTCAGTACCTGAATGAGGTAAAGATGGAAAACAAGATGCATAAATTGTGAATCATTACATTTGAATTTACAGTAAATTGATAGAAGTATAGTTAAATAGGAAAGAAATACAAAGAAATTGATGTATTACTGGATAAATGAAAATGTTAAACATTATTATTATTTTAAAGTGCCCCTATTATGTTATTTTAAAGGTTTCTAATGTTGTTTTGGAGTCTCCTACAATATGCATCCAGGCTCAAAAAGCAAATTTTCTCATAATATCCATTGCAGCATCAGCTCTTTTCTCACAGTGTTTGAATCGGTTCAGTAAAAGATTCAGTCTCTCTAAACCCCTCCTTTCCGAGAGCTACTCTGCTCTGATTGGTCAGATGGCTCAGTCTGTTTTGATTGGTCGATCGCTTTCAGCTTGTGTCGGAAAACAAACGCTCATTACCATATCTGAATTTCAGCTGTGGATCTTCCTCAGCACTTGATGCACAGTGATATGAACGGTAAGGGCCCTTACATAGTCAACGCATCGGTACGCATACGCGTGCGCAAGGCTACACATCGCTACGCTTCGGCCGCCATTATGCGTCGATGCGTAGCCAAATGTGTCATCCTAGTTTTTGATACGCGACGCGCCGATGCACGCAATACTATGCGTTGTCGGTGGGGGCGACATTGCAAGTAATGTACATAAAAGGGTATATTATTATGTTTACAGAAGAAGAAGATTTGAATACAATGGCGGGCGAAGAGGAAAAGTTATGCGAGCTTGTTCGTATACATCCTTTGTTGCCGCCGATGTAAAATCAGCAAAATGCACTCCTCTTCAGTTGCCATTTTGATCTGAATATTACGTGACCCGACTCTAGACTCTACTACCCCCTGCTGCGCGATCGGTGTATTTCATTTCACGCATCGCCGGTGACGCTTGTGTACTATGAAAAGGAGCGCGTAGCTCGTGTCGCTCGCGTTGCTTGCTCGCGTTGCTCGCGTTGACTATGTAACGGCCCTAACGATGGTGTCGGTTTTACCGTATTAATTTGAGTCCGAGTACTTGTCCTTTGAAAGTGCAGCAAAAGGGATTTGCTTTTGTTTTGTCAACACACAAACCAAACTCTTCCAGTCTCAGCTACAACTACAGTTCAGCTATCCTCTATTCAAGGGTCAAGGTAGACTTTGTTCACAGACAATGAAGACCATAGGTTGGCATCATGAAAGTTTGTTATAAACCTACGTAGGTTTGTGCAGGAATTTAGACTGGGACACTGAGACATTATCAATGCATGCTATTTAAAAAAAATAATAATTAATTAAAACATTGGCTCATGTTAATAAACAGCATTTGAGAGGTTTCTGTTTATTTAATTATATGTAATACATAACTTTTACATTTAAAGGACCATTTTTATTAGTTAACAAGAATGTTATGGCCAATTTGCTTTGGCAAAATTAAAACCTTTTCAGAGGGCTTTGTTGACTTTTTAACCACTTAATACAATACACATATTAGAATAAGTTATTATGCAAATGTATGTATTAGGGCCAGGCATTAATGTAGTACCACAAAATGTGTGTATTAGAATGCCAAAGAGACTTAGAGGTTTGCTCGTTTGACACGAGAAACAGAAAATGTTTCTATCTAATGAATTAAAAGAGCTCTAAGTTTGCCCAACCTTGGTTCACACATGCATTTCCATATTAACAGCTTCTGCAAGCAAACCATGAAGCAAAGGCGTTGGTTTCACTCTGTGGGCTTTAACAATAGACACATCTACCTTGAGAATATAAGCTGAAAACTCAAATGGTAAAATGCACGGCCCCAATTTCAAGGCTTCATAAGCTTGAGCAAAAAAAGGCAGGTTTTCTATTTGCCACTGCAATAACGTCTCAAATCTCCACATATCCGCCAGTATAACAAACTAAACCCAGTCTAAACCGGCCAACCAACACTACAGTCAAATCTGAAATACCACAAATAAAATTGTGCTGCTGCAGTTTCACCTGATGACGAGTAAAGTGTCACTCCGTCGCTGACTTGTGTAGAAAAGGATTCAGATCTCATTTCACATTCAGCTTTAGCACAAACTAATTACATGCATTGCATCTTGTCTCCAGAGAAAAAGATAAAAAAAAACTCAATGAAATCCTCATGAAATGACATCAAAGTTGCCAGTGAATGTATAAGGATATTTAAATGTTTTTTTAAAGCTTGCAGAGATTGCCTTGCATTATTGTCATTGACCTTTGACCTTGATTGGTTACTCTAGGTATAGTGAGTCGTAACTGCAGCGCTGGAGGCTGGTCACAGCCGTTCCCTCCATATCATGAGGCCTGCAGTGTTGAGGACGACATCCCAGAGGTCACTGACATGTTCTGCAATTCATACTCACTTGTATTTGATAAACATTTTCCATTTATTCATACACTTCTAAAATTACAGAAGAGAGCTCAATAAAGTCTCAGATTTGTCTCAGTATGAACTCTGAGATCTGAGCTGCTGTTAACATGAACTTTTAATAGCTCTATACTCTTAATGTAGGTCAACAACAGTATACAGTATATACACTATACACACACTCACTGGCCACTTTATTACACCAGTTCAATTGCACGTTAACACAAATATCTAATAAACCAATCACATGGCAGCAACTCAATGCATTCAGGCATGTTGACATGATCAAGACGATCTGCTGAAGTTCAAGCTGAACATCAGAATGAGGAAGAAAGTTGATTTTAGTGACTTTGAACGTGTCATGGTTGTTGGTGCCAGACGGGCTGGTCTGAGTATTTACAAAACTGCTGATCTACTGGGATTCTCACGCACAACCATCTCTAGGGTTTACAGAGAATTATCATAAAAAGAGAAAATATGCAGTGAGCAGCAGTTCAAGAAAATGCCTTGTTGATGTCAGAGGTCGGAGGAGAATGACCAAACTGGTTCAGCTGATAGAAAGACAACAGTAACTCATTACAACCGAGGTCCAGAAGAGCATCTCTGAACACACAACACATCAAACCTTGAAGCAGAAGAGCATCTCTGAACACACAACACATTAAACCTTGAAGCAGAAGAGCATCTCTGAACACACAACACATCAAACCTTGAAGCAGAAGAGCATCTCTGAACACACAACACATCAAACCTTGAAGCAGAAGAGCATCTCTGAACACACAACACATCAAACCTTGAAGCAGAAGAGCATCTCTGAACACACAACACATCAAACCTTGAAGCAGAAGAGCATCTCTGAACACACAACACAACCTTGAAGCAGAAGAGCATCTCTGAACACACAACACATCAAACCTTGAAGCAGAAGAGCATCTCTGAACACACAACACATCAAACCTTGAAGCAGAAGAGCATCTCTGAACACACAACACACCAAACCTTGAAGCAGAAGAGCATCTCTGAACACACAACACATCAAACCTTGAAGCAGAAGAGCATCTCTGAACACACAACACATCAAACCTTGAAGCAGAAGAGCATCTCTGAACACACAACACATCAAACCTTGAAGGAGAAGAGCTCCTGTGAAACTGGAAACCGGTGAAACTCCTGTCAGATGAGAACAGCAAACTGAGGCTACAATTCACCTGGCCCAACAAAACTGTAAGAGCAAACTGGCTCAAATAGAAGACTGGAAGACCGTTGCCTGGTCTGATGAGTCTCAATTTCTGCATCAGCGTTCAGATGGTCGGGTCAGAATTTGGTGTAAACAACATGAAAGCATGAATCCATCCTGCCTTGTATCAGCGCTTCAGGCTGCTGGTGGTGTAATGATGGTGGGATATTTTCTTGCACACTTTGGGTCTCTTAGTACCAATTGATCATCGACTAAAGTATTGTTGCTGATCATGTCCATCACTTTTTGATCACAGTGTATCATCTTCTGATGGATACTCCCAGCGGGATAACACACCATATCATAAAGCTCAAATCATCTCAAACTGGTGTCTTGAACATGACAGTGAGTTCACTAAACTCAAACGGCCTCCAGTCTCCAGATCTCAATCCAATAGAGCAGATTTGGGATGTGGAGAAACGGGAGATTCGCATTATAGATGTGCCGCTGATAAATCTGCAACAACTGATGCTCTCATGACAATATGGACCAAAATCTCTGAGGAATGTTTCCAGCACCTTGTTGAATCTGTGCCAAGAAGAATTAAGGCAGTTCTGAAGGCAAAATGGGGTCCAACCTGGTACAAGCAAGGTGTGCCTAATAAAGTGGCCGGTGAGTGTGAACACACACACACAGACACACACACATACATACACACTGTATGTATACAATATATATTACATTTTAGTACATTTATTTAAAATTTTCAGAATAAACAGGCTTAAGGCTTTCACACTTATGTGTCTGTCTTAACTGATTCATTCATTCATTCATTCACTCATTCATTCATTCATTCATTCATTCATTCATTCATTCATTCACTCACTCACTCACTCATTCACTCACTCACTCACTCATTCAGTTTAAACAGACTCAGAATTTAGTTGAAAATACATGTAGATGTAATTGATTTGTGCTCATTTGTCCCTTAGGAGTTGTATTTTGCCACTGTGAAACTGATCTACACTGTTGGTTATGGAGCGTCGCTGCTCTCTCTCTCTGTTGCTGTGATAATACTGCTGCTCTTCAGGTACTGTGCTTGGTGGACTGAAAAAAACCCTCAAACCCGCCACTGATTAGTCAGTACTGCAAAAATATTGCTTTAATATTGCTAGTCTCTTTTGTGAGTAACTTTTAGCATCTATCTAGCTACTTTTTCCACATAAACTTGACTCAACTTTACAACTTTAAATCAGCCTGTAGCTTGGAAACTAGTCTCTAGTTACTGCAACATTAGAAGAAGGTTGTATTCTTTACAATTATATATTTCAAAAAATGCTGTTTGTGTTATAGGCGATTACACTGTGCTCGAAACTACATCCACATGCAGCTGTTTTTCACCTTCATCCTAAAATCTGTGGCTGTTTTTATCAAAGATGCTACGCTGTTCTCCAGTGACGACACGGATCACTGCACACTCTCTACGGTGAGTCTTTCACACCATCAATGCTGTTTCCTGCGGAAAGTACAAACCTGACCGACTTCACACACACCACTTTTTTCCTCAATGACTATAGACAATATTTTTTACAATGCTTTACTGATAATATTTCTTAGTGTATTTCTTAACATTTCTTATATATAAATATTCAGGAATTAACACTCACCAAATGCGGTGCATTTCAGCAGTGGCGTGTAACGCAGTCACTCATATTAGCCACTTTGGCGGGTTGAATTTTATGTATAATACTGTATATCATTTTTATTTTATTTTAGTCTTTTAAAAAGGCATCTGAAATAATAAACTAAGTGCAATGTACTGTTGTCAAAAATATAGATTTTTCGATACATATCGATATTGAAATATCTGAAACGCTTCCAATACAGATTTTCTGCAGAATAGTAGATACAAGATATCAGCTGCGCTTTCTCTCTCTCATCTCTCCGACGAGTTACACACAAACCCTCCTTTCCTCACTCACTCATTTCATTTGCTCTGAATGAATATTGTGGTGTTACAGGGCTTGAATTTCAGCATGTGATTGTGCATAATTTGACTCATTCCCGCAGATTTTGTGCTCACACTCAAAGTGCGGCACATAAAGCGTCCTCTCAGTACTAAATCAAGTACTTTTTTGCTGCTTATTGCACTTAAACAGTAGCCTGGATGCCAGCCGAACTTAGCCCCGCTCACAGCATTTGAAGCAACATGAAGCAAGTATGCCCGAACCAAAGCTGTTCGGACCAATCAAATTGTCAGGGCGGGCTTTATACGATGATGGACAGCTGATCAACCGTAACGTAATCATCCACGTCACCAAAGAGCGCTTGGGTTGAATTCGTTTACAACAAAGTATGGCTGCCGCTGGAGAATTTAGATGTGTAGATTCAGCCATCGCGTCTGTTATAGAAGATGTAGACAGCACATTCATTTTAAAAGAGGTTCAGAGAACCGCGATCAAGGCATTTGTCGATCCAATTGAGTGCAGAGGCATTTTCTTTCCTCGTTCGGTTGTAATACCCCATAATCACAGCCCAGTGGAGCAGTATCAGACTTACATTCTGACTAGAATCTGAGTATGACGACGTCAGGCTACTTAAACAGTCAAATACACACAAAATAATGAAAAAATGCGGGTCTTAACGAATATTCACGCAAACACAGTCAGTTACTAGACACTTTGGCGGGTTTCATTTTATATACAATGCATACATTTTTCAATTGTAGTCTTTTTAAAAAGGCATCTGAAATAATAAACTTGAGTGCAATGTAATGTTGTAAAAAATATAGATTTGACAAAAAGTCAGTAATGTTAAGTGAACGTATACAGTTGAGAAAGAAAACGCATGTGTAACAGTATAATGGATCTGTGTGTCAGGTCTTAAAGTGACAGGAGCCTAATATACCTGCTGCCAAGTTATGAGATAATATTAAATATATCTCAGTGTTTCCTCAAGGATTTTTTCCAGCCGTGGTGGCAGGCCCATTTCGCCAGGGGGAGGGGCGTGGCCCATGAGTGATATTCCCATTGGCCACGCCCCCTTATCCCAGGTGTTTAAACCTCCCCTAAGTATTATAACATGAAAGGCGCCAATAAGAGCGGCAAAGCGATTATGCGCATCGCGTGCGCAGAATGATGCACTTGAAGTAACGCGAAGTCACAATGTGCAGCGCTTCGCATTGAAAGGTTCAAAGCACAAAGCGAAGAGATTATATCTGCTTAATGTATTATATCTATGCAACAGTTTATTAAGCCTTTTCTTTTAACATTTTTAAATTTCAGTTAACTTACAGTGCGCATGAAGAACAATTCATAGTGCTCTCTACTCTAGTGCTGTGCTGTAGTAACAGACACCCGGGAGAAAGGAATGTGATTTAGAAAGCGCTATAAACTCCAGCAAGATAAAGTAATTTTATGCAAACTATAGACCTTTATCTACAAATATAGTATAAAGGGAACATTGATCTTGAAGAGAGTGTCTTCGTGTTACTGTCGTAACCGAACGCGACGTGCTGTTTGAATGCTGAATGGAGAATGACTGAGGAGAGATGAGTTTCCATTAACTTTAACTTAACGACTTAAATATACATTTTTACCTCACATTATGCTATTGAATGACTTTAGAAGTCTTGGAATATAGTGTGAAAACTTTATGGTGCTTTACAATGTTTTGTATGCCTTTAGTGGGGCTTAACAATAACACAAACAAAATCGGACCGAGAAGCTGCAGCCGTGGCGGGATGATTTTAGGTGTGGCGGCCCGCCACGGCAGAATGAATGTAGCGGAAACACTGTATCTATATGGCAGTTTTTCCCCATGGTATCAATGTCAAAATTGTGGCCAGGGAAAATGCTGAGTGGCTAGTAACTTTAGATCACATGATCCTTCAGAAATCTTTCTAATATGCTGCAAAAGAAACATTTCTGATTATTATCCATGTTGAAAACCGTTGTGCTGCTTCATATTTTTGTGGAAACTGTGATAGTTTTTTTTCAGGATTCTTCAATGAATAGAAAATTCAAAAGAACAGCTTTTATTTGAAATAGAAATTTTTCTAACATTATTAATGTCTTTACTCTCACTTTTGGTCAATTTAATGCATCCTTATTGAATAAAAACATTCCGTTGTGTACTGACCCCTTCTTACTGAAGCACTTTTTATGCTAAAAAGAACGATGAAATAATTTCAAGTTTTACAAGAGTTTTAGACCCTGTTTTGTACTTTATTCATTGAAAAGTCCTCCATAGATGCATTCATTTTTTTTAAAGTAGAAATATTGATCTTCCTCTACTTCCTGCTGAGTTCATACTTTCTCCCTCTGCTTATCTCCTTCCTCTTCAGTTTTTTGCCGCCATGCCTTTTTATCATTCTCAGAGTCTCTCTCTCTCTCTCTCTCTCTCTCTCTCTCTCTCTCTCTCTCTCTCTCTCTCTCTCTCTCTCTCTCTCTCTCTCTCTCTCTGCAGGCGGCCTGTAAGGCGTCTGTGGTGTTTTGTCATTTTTGCGTCATGACTAATTTCTTCTGGCTGCTGGTTGAAGCCGTGTATCTGAACTCACTGCTGGTCTCTGCTTTCCCGCGCAGCCGCCGCTGTCTGTGGAGTTTCGCTCTGCTGGGCTGGGGTGAGACTCCCATATCTCTGTCCCTGTCCTCTCACCAGTGTTGGGATTCGGGAAAGTTCATTTTCTACATTAACTAGTTCAAAGTTCAGTTCACAAATTTTAAAATGAACTAGTTCAGTTCGTAGTTCATACTTCAAAAAATGAACTAGTTCATAGTTCTGTTTTTTCCATTATGTTGTTGCGAGCTTTTTTTATTTGATTTTTTTATTATTGCCACAGCCCATATACAACCACAGACGGCAATTATTTTATCAACGGGCAAAGTTTGCTCAGAAATGTCCGATTTTTCCCATCATCACCGACCTTGTCATACACAACTCGTTTAAATAATCATAGGCTACAACGCCTCCTCGCTCGCTGCTTTGTCGACTACATGCTGCTTCTTGTCTTGATGACGCATGCGGCGGCCGCGGTGCGACACTGGCGGCTGGTGTTGCCAGATTGGGTGTTTTTTCGCTACATATTAAGGCCTGTTTACGCGTGTTTTAGCTGGGTTTTCGCCTGTAAGGCTCTACAGAAATCTGGCACCCTATTGAAAGAAGTTAACTTGAGAGAGCGTGCGTTCACAGACACCAGAATGAACGAGTTCACACAGTAACGTTCATCAGGCAGTAATTCAGTACGTTCAGTTCACGTTCGCCCAAAATATGAACGAGTTCATGAACTATCGTTCATTTAACGCGTTCAGGCACAACACTGCCTCTCACACACTCCTGCCTCTGGCCATCACAGATTACTTTTATCGTATAAGTGTTGACTATGTGAGTTATTAAAGGAACAGAAGGGAAAGGAGAAATTAGGTTAGGTTTGTCTAGATATTTTTTTTAACACTTTAATATGAAGTAATTCATAGTTAACCCAAAAATAAAAATTCTGCCATCATTTACACCGCTTCATTTCATTCCAAACCTGTAAGACTTTTATTCATTTTCAGAACACAGATGAAGATATTTCCAATGTAATTCATTTCCAATTAATTCTGTCGCTCCATTGAAAGTCCATTCACCCAAAGCTCTTGACGCTTGAAAGCGTTTATGAATAATGTCTGTCACTCATCGGTGGAAAAGAGTTCAAAGAGTTCAAAAGAATATATTTTGAAAAATGTATACAATGAAAGTCAATGAGGTCCAATTTTGTTTTTGCCTCAGAATATCTTCTTTTTTTGTTCCACAGAAGAAAGAGGTCAGAAAACAAAACACAATACAGAAAACATTTACACATCACCTTTCACAATAATGCATAGAAAGGGACACTACCATTAAAAAGTTTGCCATCAGAAAGATTTTTTTGTTGTTATTATATTATTATTGAGTACCAGGATGCATTAAATGGATCAAAAGTGACAGTAAACATAAATGTTGTTCTTTTGAGCATTTTATTCATTAAAAAAACGTTGGTTTCCACAAAAATATTAAGCACTGCTTTCAACATTAATAATAATAAGAAATGTTTAATTTCTGAAGGATCATGTGACACTGAAGACTGGAGTAATGATGCTGAAAATTCAGCTTTGATCACAGGAATAAATTACATTTTAAAATATATTCAAACAGAAAACAGTTGCTTTTAAATTGTAATAATATTTTACAATATTGCTGTATTTTTTATCTAATAAATGCAGCCTTGCATAAGAGACTTATTTCAAAAACATAAAAGAAATCTTACCAAACCCAAACTTTTGAATGGTAGTGTATGTAGAGATTAATTCATGTGCTTTGTGATCACTTTGTCTGGCATTTTATTTTTTTTCGGTAATGACCAACTGACAGTACATTATGATTCTTATTTCTTGGCTACTTACTCTGATCTATCATCATTTATGGTTCTGAAGTCTATTATTTTTCTCATGTTAGCAGCTATTATATTCTCTGCGACTCCAATCAGTGAAGTACAGCACGATCCTTCTGTTGTTCTTTCTTCTCAATTTCCATTTATATTCTGTCTGTCTCGCTCCCCTCTGGTGTGTGGGACCCTGGGAGGGCTGAGAAGTGTCAGAACATCTCTCGTGATTGGCACCTCCGTCGTCTTTGATTTCAGCAGACAATTGAACGAACAAACAGTTCAAATGACATTGTAGAAGCAGTAGAGATGCATAGAGACGTACAAATCCATGTTCTCGTTCTTATACACGTTCCTGGTCTTATTGCGAATGATGCATCAGAGCATGTTATTCTAAAGAATCAAAACAGAGTTACATTCTGGTATATCAATCTTTTTTTACAATCAATTCCTGAAGTATTAAATCATTGATTAAAACATTTTTGTTTTTCCTCATTGAATATCCTGTATTGCATCACATTAGGAAAGTTAAATGGATTCCAAACTTCATGATGATATTTAGGAGATCTGCTAATTATCTGTTTTAGAAATATGGAGTTGAAAATGGCCTTTTTCTTGTGCAAATATGTTTAATACTTTCATGAATGCTGTCTAATTTCGATAAAAATTTTCATAATTGCTTAAATTATTAATTTGGGGATTACGCCAACTTTTGGTAATTTAACTAAAAGGCACTTAATATTTCAGTACCATCACCATTGTACCATTAGCACAGTGTTATATATTGAGTATATTATCTCAAATGTTAAACCCAGAGGAATTCATTTAATTGAAAGTAATAGCTTCTAGGTATATAATCCATGCTTTTTTACAGCGTTGCATTGAACACTCTCTGTGAGATTCCCTTTTCCCAACACCATCATCTTTTTGTCTCTCTTTGGTCTTTTCTCCAGGTGTTCCGCTGGTCTGCATCGTCCTCTGGATCTGCTCCAGAGTGTATTTTGAGGACACAGAGTAATTGCACGTTTGTTCTCTACCTTTAAGTAGTGGTTCTCGTGAGGGATTTGAACAAGCCCCTGATGCCAAACGCACACTTCAAGACTCAATCTCACCGCCGTTGATGTTTTCGATCTACAGCCAGTCACAGATGATGAATGATGCACTTATTATAAAGCAATGGGTTTTATCATTTACTGCTTCATTGCATCTTACCTGGTTAAGACATTGATGTTTAAGTAAGGATATATTTTTACCATTGTACAAATCCCTGGTAAGATCACATCTTGAATATGCAAGCTCAGTCTGGTGTCCATGTAAATTAAAATATGTGGAGAAAATTGAAAGGGTCCAGAGAAGAGCTACTAAATTAATTCCAGGAATTAAAAATATGACATATGAAGATAGATTGAGGGAATTACGTTTACCAACTCTCAAATTTAGGAGATATAGAGGAGATATGATTCAGGTATATAAACTTGTACAGGGAATATACGATGTAACAGTTGAACCTATCTTTCAGTTTTGGAACAAATAGGTACGAGACACGAGGGAATTCTTTAAAACTTTACCCTAGAACATGCCTGTCTGAAAAGAGAAAGAACTTTTTTACACTCCGTGCGGTAAAATCATGGAATGAACTTCCAGAAGAAGTTGTGTGTTCCCCTTCTATTAATTCCTTTAAGAACGGGTTGGATGCATTTTGCCTGTCAAAAGGTGTTATGTATAATTATAAAGCTTGCCAGTAACTAATGTAATTCATTTTATGTAATTTATTTAGGATAAAACTTCAATTTATGAAATTAATGTGTTAATTATAAAATGTGAAATTATATGTATATAAATATATTTGTTTGCGTTTTTTTAGAGTCTGGAATAGAGGATTGCATATGAAATATGAAATCTTTTCAATAAATTTCAATAAAATGTTGTCTATCTAGGAACCTGTGTTTTTTTTTTTTTTTCAGGTGCTGGGACATAAATGAAGATTCTCCTTATTGGTGGATCATCAAGGGTCCCATTGTAGTATCCATAGGGGTAAGATAATGCATGAGGACATGGATGTATGAACGAAGGGACTCACACACAGTTATTTTCATGTTTGTTTTATGTTTGCCCAACCAGGTGAACTTCCTTCTCTTCATGAACATTATCAGGATTCTGGTGCAGAAACTGAACCCTCGCTTGATCCAGTTCAACAATTCGTCTCAGTACAGGTACACACACACACACACACACACTGAAGGGACACTAGCTGCATGTGTGGAGATAAGTGGGTGTTTTCAATTCACTCTCTATGGGAGATGAGCGGCAGGTTTGCGTGGGGGATTGTGGGATTGATAGCGGTGAGAGCTTTACAATAAGCCTAACAATTTATTCGATTCTATACAACAACATTAGTAAATGCATTTGGTATTGTGAACTAATCATTCTAATATGCTGATTTGTTGCTCAAGAAACATTTCTGGCTATTATCAATGTTTTAAACAGTTGTGCTGCTTCATATTTTTGTGGAAACAGTGATACCATTAAAACATTTGTGGTAAGATAAAAAAAGAGAGAATTTTAAAACTTTTATTCATCAAGGATGCATTCAATTGATCAAAAGTGACAGTGAAGACTTTTTCAACAGATTTCTGTTTAATAAATACTTTAATAAATGTAAATAAATGCTCTTCATTATACTATCTGTTTAACATAGAATCCTGAAAAGTATCACCACAAAAATATTCAATAAAAAATATTTCTATTTAGCTTTATTTTTTATTTCAGTTTTAGTCTTTTAGTACTTAAACTTATTTATTTTGGTTAGTTGCCAAGGCAACATTTCTAATATTAATTTCCAATATATATATATATATATATTTAACATTTTCATGTAATATTAATATTTTATTTCAGCTTTATTTCAAATACTGCTGAAGGTTTTTAATAGTTGTATACCTAGATTAATAAATGCTGCAAAAATATAATTTGTTGTTAGTTCATGTAACCAATGTTAGTTTATACAACCTTATTGTGAAGTTACTGTTTTTTTGTCTAATGATCGAAAGTAGCAAATACTTAATAATTACAATGTTTATTTCTCAGAAGAGAAAGTTGAAACCTACTTCTTTTAACAACTCTATTTTTCCATCAACTGCAGAACTGCGGGTATCTTAAAACTTATATAGTAACATCTATATTAACTGGTTGCATTCAAGTGATACATAAATGGTAAATGGACTGCATTTATACATCGCTTTCACAGACCCAATGGCCACCAAAGCTGTAATATAATTTAATATGACTGAATGGCCAATGAAAATCAATGTAAGGGTCAGAATATTTTGAAATTATGTAGCAATAATGCACAGGATTGTGGGATATCATAGGCAGTGGAGGATACTATAGTGAAATATGAACCAGGCAAGGCTGTCTTAGTAGACCGGGTGTTTCGCAAAAGTTGCTCTTTTAAATCCCGTAAACACACATTAACTCCAGGGATGTGCTAATGAAATGCATGGAGCGAGACTTTGAGATCCTTGTATAAGCACCGCAGATGTAAAGCTGAAGCAAACCTCGCATGCTGACAGGAAATAGAATCGTGTTCCCAGTACGCATCATCATCACTGCTAGGATCCTTTTGAAGGTTTTTAAGTGTGACTTTGTTCTTTCAGCCTCTCCGGCATCTCTACTGTACTTCCCCCTGTAGAGACTGGCAGATAGCACGAGAACAGCAACACATCTCTACTGTACTTCCCCCTGTAGAGACCGCCAGATAGCATGAGAACAGCAACACATCTCTACTGTACTTCCCCCTGTAGAGACCGGCAGAGAGCATGAGAACAGTCACTGGCAATATGATAGCTTTTGCAGTTTTAGGTATTTTAATAACACACAGGCAGATATATTTTGGGATACTAATCATATTTTTTTAGTTAGCTTTTATTTTAAAAAATTCAGTTTAAGTTTTATTAGTTATGTTATGTGCTTTTGTCATTTTTGTTATTTCCATTTAATTTATTTAATTTTAATTAAATTCTTAATTTAATTCTTAATTAATTTTATTATGTATGTTTTAGTTATAATTTTAGTACTTCAACATTTAAAAAAAAACATTTAGATTTAGTTTTTCATCTAATTCTATTTTATTTCAGCTTTATTTCAATTAATGAAAACTAGTTTTAATAGTTATAGTTTTACTTTTATTTCACTATAACAGCACTGCCCACAAGACACTGTTTACCAACCAAATTTCATTACCATGTATTTTGGACATGCAAAATTACCATCTTAATACCATGGTATTATTTTGAATACCTTGTGTTGTACCCTATAAATACCATGGTATGTGTAAAAAGGCTGTATGGTGCATTCACTAAAAAAACATGGAATTACCATAATGTGTTGTTATATTATAATACCATCAGTGGCGTATAACCCGTTTTTAATTTTTTTCTCCATTCATTTCTCTCATATGGATTTTTAAAAAGTTTTTGTTAAAGCGTTATAAGCCTTGAACAAAGCCAACCAGCTACGAGGTGAATCACAACATTACAAACCTTGATTTGAAGCAAAAAATTATTTGAAAATCAGACAAAAATATAAAGGTAAAGACTGTGTACTTAACGGCTTTAGTGAGGGAAAGAACTACAATCCCATGAAGCATTGCAAACAGCATAATCAAATTAAAAACATTGGAGAAATATAAAACTACTCATTTACAAATGTCGAATCATGTATATATAAAAACGTCTCGGTTACATATGGTAACCCTCGTTCCCTGAGGGAGGGAACGGAGATGTAGGTCATGACTGACCAATAGGAATCTCGCTAGAGAGGCCAATCTACTTCAAGTGAAACTAAAACAAGCCAATGCACATTGGCGTGCAATCATTTGCATCAGCTGTGCAGCCTCGCAGCGCGGGTATTTAACGAGCAGCTGTTGCGATTGCACACTAGTTTTTTTGCTGAGGAGCCAAGCCTGAAAAAGCTGTCCGCCCCAGCGGGCGGTAGCAGATGTGGCGACGGGACCTACGTCTCCGTTCCCTCCCTCAGGGAACGAGGGTTACCATATGTAACCGAGACGTTCCCTATCGGTCAGTCACTACAACGTAGGTCATGACTGACCAATAGGAATCCCTACCAAAGTGCCACAGCCGCTGCACCCCATCCCGTGCCCCATGCAAGCCTCTACACATTCTTGCCTGGAAGGACGATAGGAGGAGGCTTACACAGAGTGAGTGAGACAATAACCCATACAGTGAGATATTGGATAACACTGGGAAAGCGTGCCCTTTCTATTTAGGAAGGAGAGCGCTGCGGAAGCCACTTCAAAGAGTTATGTGGAAAATACATATGGGCTAACCCGAAGGTTGTACTGCATATGAATAATGGGAGACTTAGCCCAAGGGAAAGACACGGGCTTCCAATGGGAGCAGCCATGGAAAACATACACATATGGGATCCACGTAGGGTCACACATATGGAACCCAGCCCAGATCCGGTTCTCAAGAATTCAGCGGATAAAGGCCTGGTGCCGGACGCTCCGCCATGTCCGGGCCGAGGGGTTTTGGAGGACTCAACAGGTTTTACTCTGGAGTAATAAGGTCGCACAGTAGGGTGCAGCAAGCCGACAGAGCCGGGCCACTCGGTGCTTCTACCCGTCTAGGGTGAGAAGACGGGAGGAGACCGGCTCTACACGTAGGCTATAATATCTAGCGAACGTGTTAGGTGTCGCCCAGCCCGCAGCTCTACAGATATCTGTTAGCGAGGAGCCACGTGCCAGCGCCCAGGAGGATGCAACGCCTCTCGTGGAGTGTGCATGCAACCTGAGCAGGCAGGGCACACCTTGTGCTTGGTAAGCCAAGGCGATGGCATCCACTATACAGTGGGCCATCCTCAGCTTGGAGACAGCCTTTCCCCTCTGCTGCCCTCCGTAACAGACAAAGAGCTGGTCTGAGGTCCTGACATAGGGTCCTGAGGTTCTGTCCACGTACATACGCAGAGCGTGAACGGGACAGAGCAAAGCCAGGGCTGGGTCTGCCTCCTCCAAAGGCAGCGCTTGCAGGTTCACTACCTGGTTTTTGAAGGTAGTGGTAGGAACCTTGGGCACATAGCCAGGCCGGGGTCTTAGTACCACATGGTTGTCACCCGGCCCGAACTCTAGGCACAATTTGTCGACCGAAAATGCGTGCAGGTCTCCTACCCTCTTGGCAGAGGCCAGTGCAACCAGTAGCAAAGTCTTCATGGAAAGAAGCTTTAAGTCTACTGATTGCAGAGGCTCAAAGGGAACATCCTGAAGTGCTCGAAGCACCAGGCAAAGGTCCCAAGAGGGTATGGAGGGGGGGTCGAGGAGGATTTAATCATCTCACCCCCCTAAGAAACCTGACGACCAGGTCGTGCTTCACCACTGTTTTGCCATCTATGTGGTCGTGATAAGCTGAAATAGCGGCAGCATGTACTTTGAGGGTGGAGGGAGACAGCCTTCGCTCCATCCCTTGCTGCAAGAAGGAAAGCACAGACCCTATCGAACATCTTCGGGGGTCTTCTCGGCGAGAAGAACACCACTCGATGAACAGGTTTCACTTCAGGGCGTAAACACGTCTCGTGGACGGCGCCCATGCTGAAGTGATGGTGTTAAGTACCTCAGGGGGTAAGTGACCTAGAACCTCCGCGTCCCGTCCAGGGACCAGACATGGAGTTTCCAGAGGTCTGGACGCGGGTGCCATAGGGTGCCCCGTCTCTGAGTCAGAAGATCCTTCCTCAGAGGAATGGGCCAGGGAGGGACTGTCACAAGGAGCGTGAGTTCTGGGAACCAAGTCTGGGTGGGCCAATAGGGAGCCACCAGAAGGTCGTCTTCCCTGACTTTGCACAGTGTCTGCGCAAGTAGGCTCACTGGGGGAAATGCATATTTGCGGAGGCCCCGGGGCCAGCTGTGTGCCAGTGCATCCGTGCCGAGTGTCCTCTCGGTCAGGGAGTAAAACAGCTGGCAGTGGGAGTTCTCTGAGTAGGCAAACAGGTCTACCTGAGCCTCCCCGAACTCACTCCAGATCAGCTGAACCACCTGGGGGTGGAGTCGCCATTCTCCCGGGAGCACAGCTCGTGATAGCTTGTCGGCCACATGGTTGAGCACACCGGGGACATACATGCCTCGAAGCGACCTCAGATACTTCTGACTCCAGAGGAGAAGATGGCGGGCGAGTTGCGACATGCGACGGGAGCTTAGACCACCTTGTCGGTTGATGTACGCAACGGTCCCAGTGTTGTCCGTGCGGACCAGCACGTCCCTGCCCTGTAGCGGTCTTTTCAAGCGGCTCAAAGCGAGATGTACTGCTAGCAACTCGAGGCAATTGATGTGCCAATGCAGTTGGTGGTCCGTCCACACCCCTGACACTGCATGCCCGTCCACTGGAGCCCGATCCTGTTGGCGGCCCGGGAAAGCATGGCCATCATCTCTGGGTCCGACTCGGGCACCGTTGGCACACCCGAAGGAGGCAGCGGCTCCTAGCCGTCGTCCGCAGAGAAGTCTGACCCACCCTCCGATGCAGTAACCGACATCTGATCGTCGTGGGGAGCACCAAATGAAACGACTGGTACACACCTCGAGGATGGTCCAGCACGTTCCTTTGGTGGCTCAACTGGCTGCGGAGCGTGAGAGGGGTGAGGGTTCCTAGGAGGTCGGTTCCCCGAAGGAAGCGCGCTCACCGGAATCCTCAGGTCTCCCGTGTCACTGCCCGAAGCAACCCTCTGAGGAGGATTGGATCGAGGCAGAGGCACGGGGACTCCGCCCCTTTGCAGGAGAGAGTCTCGACCGCAGCTCCGAGATGGTCATCTTCCCACAATGGTTACATGACTCATCCACGAATGCTGCCTCAGCGTGTTCGAGGCCCAGACACATGAGGCATATATATATATATATATATATATATTTTTTAATTTGTGAAAAAGACGCGGATTATCTGTGTAAGCTCTTTTAGAGACTGCTCTCCTTGGTACGGAAGCACGCAGGGGAACGGTCCGCGAACACAAACAAGAATGTGCACCAGTCTGTGCGCTGTTCTCTCTCACTGGTCTTACCAGCCGTGAAAACGGCTGTTGAGCGCTCTCACCGTGCACCTTACCAGCTGTAAATCCAGCTTTTTTGTTTTGCTCTGTTTAAAAATAAAAAACAGAAAACAAAAAAGAGAGAGAGAAAAAAAGAAGACCGCTCGCGCTGCTGTGCTGTCACGCCCTCGCCAAAGTGGAGAGATCCAGAAGAGGCTTGCAGATTCACTCTGTGTAATCAGCATATGAAGTGCTTGGCTCCTAAGCAAAAAGCTAGTGTGCAATCGCAAGCGCTGCGAGGCTGCACAGCTGATGCAAATGATTGCACGCCAATGTGCATTGGCTTGTTTTAGTTTCACTCGAAGTAGATTGGGCTCTCTAGCGAGATTCCTATTGGTCAGTTATGACCTACGTTGTAGTGACGGAACAAATTTGTATTTATAGCCTATATATATGTATGTATGTACGCATATTTTGCAATAAACGTAAAATATATTTTGAAAGCGTTGAGAGATCGCTATTCACAGTGAGTCATGGGAGTGGGGGGAGCTAAACATATTTTGGGGCGTGTTGCTTTTATCGACTCTCTGATTGGTGTAATTTTCTGTACAGCATCATGGGTAATGTAGTTTTTCACCAGGAATTCAGCTGTTAAACATTATTATTAAAAAAAAAGATAAAATAATGTGGGCTGACAGCTTCAAAGATACTATCGATTAACAACCTCTTATTACCTCAATACTATACTTTTTGGTAGTTTTTAAGTATTAACAATAAAATAAAACAGAAACATGGTACATCTTTTGGGAATGTGATAGTAACTTGTTTTTTTGGACCTGTATTACTGTGGTGTTCTTTGAAGTACCTTGGTATATGATAATGGTAAATCAATTGAAACATTAACAATAATAACAAACAATTTTTTTTGCCAAGTCATATAGTTAATTGGGCAAAATGTAGGCTGTTACCAAGCAACAATCAAATTTCTACTGTTTTTATATCCACGTATCAGGATAATTTCCACGAAATTTCTGCTCATGCTTGTTTAAGAGCACTGACCTGATTATCTGCTGAGAGATGTGTGTGTGTATGTGTCCTGTTAATGCTGTTATCAAGAAGAGACTCTCTGTCTGTTTTGCCATAAATGAGTGCGTGCTGCTGTTGAATATGCAGATTTCACACAAGCCTGTGAATGACAGCTATGCTCTCCAGAACCGGTGGTTTTAAGCGTTTCTGTCAGACTACTTGACAGTTTTGCATTAAAACACATTTCACTGTGTGCAGTGGTGCAATCATAGTAAAACACCATGGATTCATTGATCTGTGAGTGAAATTTTAATATGTTTCACACTGAGGGACCTCATCTACATTTATAGTTAAAGAATAGTTCAATCACTATTCAAAAATGCCATTATATTTCAGTGAATACACTTTCAATGTCACACAAAGCTATGTGTGTGGCTTCAGAAAACTTCTAATATATTGCACAATTTATATGGACTACTTTTCTTGGACTACTAAACTTCTCTTTTTGTATTTCATGAAAGAAAGAAAATGAGTGCGAGTATACATTTTAATTTTTGGGTGAACTGTCCCTTTAAGCTCGGAATGATGGCTTAATTCTCCTATAAATAATACATTTTGCATTTGTGTTTTATAAATTAGCAGAGGAATTATAATCATCATTGCACATATGTTTTCATTGATGCATATTTATTAGGCAAATGCTTTAATCTGATTGACAAATGAAGAACAATACAAACAGAAGAGCTATAAATACAACATTTCTAACGGTATATTATATTCACATCAATGTGCATATGCAGAGGAAACCTGTGAATATTAAAGGAATAGTTCACCCTAAAATAAAAATGTTGTCATTATTTTCTCACCACCAGTATATTGTAGGGATGGGACGATTACCGGTTTCACGATAAACCACGATAAAATGTCCTGGCGGTTAGTATTATCGTTTAAAATTTAATTATCATAAAAACCGTGTTTGATTATGGTGATTTTGAAAACTCGCGGTAAATCCTGTCCAGCCAGAATCAGTCTGACGCAGGCGCGAGCACTCAGCAGGCGCGCAGATGCAATGTTGTTTTTTTGCGCGAGAAGACATGGCGGAAGGCAGTGACAGCGCACGGGAGATTTTTCAGCCATCCAAGAGAACAAAATCGGAGGTATGGTCGTATTTTGGCTATTACAAGAGTCCCGAGGGCAATTTAATCGAGGATGGGCATCCTGTCTGCAAATCTTGCAAGAGGAAAGTCGCTGCAAAAGGGGGAAACACGTCAAATCTGCTAAGTCATCTAACGTTACGTGACAACCACCCACTGAGTTAATTTTTACCTTAATACCACAACTAACTTGGGCAAATAATTAGACAAATTTATTGGAGATGAATTATTTCATTATCTCACTTGTAATTATTGCAAAGCTTCCGCGAAGAGAAAAGTTTTACAGCAAGTGGATTTGAGCCAAGACGAACGAACATATTCAAACTATTAAGGGTGACATTTAAGGGATAATGTATTGTATTCATTCATAGTAAACTTATTACAGTTTTATTTTTTTTTTATTTTTTACCACAGAAATAATTTAAGGGACATGAAATATTGAACTGTGATTAACTTAATGTTTTTAAATCTTGCCGGTTTATAAATCCATTATACAAGTTACAGTGTCCAAATCAATCGTAAAGTAAATGTGATCACTACAACAATATTGTAGTAGTATTAATACTAAATTACTCTGATTTAATTTTCAAAACAGTCAAAACTGAGACGCAAGACATATTTGAATGAAACCAGAGATCGCGTCCACGGTGATCCGAGACATGGATGTGCGCTGTGTAGTGCGTTGCTATTTACAACAGTCATTATAAGTATTCCAGTAGTTTAGTCACCCTGACCCAACCAACATATGTTGTTCATTTAAAGTGTGTGTGCGTGCGTGCGCGTGAGTGAGTGAGTGAGAGAGAGAGAGAGAGAGAGAGAGAGAGAGAGAGAGAGAGAGAGAGAGAGAGAGAGAGAGAGAGAGAGAGAGAGAGAAAGTGATTTATTATTTATTAATAATAATAATATTCAGTCATAATAACTTACACACATCCATAAGTGTTATTATCATTATTAATGATAGGGTTTAATGACGGGTTCATTAAAATCTGCACTAGGAAAACTTATACCTCTCACTCTCAGGGCTGCATGTTAATGTTAATATAATGTTTATGCTTAAAAAAGTGCATAGCTGCTAGCCTGCTAATTGTATTTTTTTGTTTGTTGATTTTCAAATGTTTTCAGGGTGAGCATCAGTTCTTTTTGAACATTTCCATCTCATTTTAACAAAACCGTGATAATATTGATAATCGTGATAACTTTGGTCACTATAATCGTGATATGAAATTTTCATACCGTCCCATCCCTAGTATATTGTTTTTGTTTTTTTAGAAATCAATGAAAATGAAATGCTACAAACACACCTCATTCTTCATTGATACGTCAATGATATCAAAACTACATGGTTTCTCTCATATATCATGACCTAAAGTGACTCGCTAGATTTCTTTCACACGAATCTCTCATATGGGGCTCAAAATATAGCCTACAAGTACAGATTACGTTCATGTTTCTTTTATTCTGTCTGGTCCATTTTGGAGCTTTCACAGCATCTGTCCCCATTCATCTTTCAGGTTAAGGGACGAGTCATTGTGAGTAAATGTTGACATAATTTTCCTTTTTGCATGAAGTATTCCTTTAAAGGTGTTGTTTGAAGTCATGCAATATTATGCTGTTACTCGTTTGAATCCATAATATCCACTCAGCAGAAGCACCCAGCTCTACCCAATAACCTCTTACCCTTCCTCCTCTCCATGCTTTATCTCTCCTTCCCTCAGGCGACTGACCAAGTCCACCCTCCTCCTCATCCCTCTCTTCGGCACTCATTACATGGTCTTCAGCTTTCTCCCAGACTACTTCAGCGTGAGCCTGCGGCTTTGCATCGAGCTGTGTCTGGGCTCCTTCCAGGTTATCCAGCCCGCTATCAGCACAACACAGCTTAAACCCAAACCTCAGCGGGAGTGTAAAATTACTGATCTAAGACTGGAATAGGCTACTCGATTTTTGCTCAGATTTTTGCACCGATTTTAGTCTGGACGCATCGACGCTAACGTTAGTTGCCAAAAGTCAGAGCCAGTCTGCAGATTTTCAGCAGTCATAGTTGACAGAGGATGCGTGCGTCTCAATCAGTTCCCTAGTTCAGTAGTCAGGGCACAGAGTCGGCCATTTTAAGGGCTGTCTCAATCGCAAAATCCTTCTAGGGCACTGAAACATTCGCTTCCTAAAAAGTCTCACAATACACCTTCAAAACCAGGGAGCATCAAAGCTCACTATGAAATCGCTGGTGTTTCTGACGTCACAAACTACCTTGTAACCAATCAGGTCAACGTGTGATCGTCAACGAGTGGATCTCTGAGCTGGTGTGAGTGAGTGGAGGCGGGGATCATTTGCATATTCATAGAACCGCGTATACTAAATGAGGCAAGGGTGTCGAGTTATATTCAAGCTATTTTAAGGCATGAAGAATTTTTTTTCAAGGATAAAAGGTCATTTTGGTGATCAAATATGAGTTTTAAGGGAGACAATTATTGACTACAGGGGGACTTTAATGGAAGTTCTGAAGCTTGAAACTTAAATCACGTGAGCAAACTCACTACACATAACTACACGCGATAGATGTTTTTAAAAATACAAAACATTATTTAATTATATTTCAGCTTAAACATACATCGTTAGATGGGTAATGAACATAATCTTGCATGTATATGTAACAACCAAAGTTTTCATTATAATGTACTTTAAGTAACATTAAAAAATAATATCAGAAAGATAACAGTTCTGCTGTTGTTAATAAATACTGTACCAGTAGTGATGTTGTACAATGAGGACGTTGTCACATCGCCGGAAATAGAGTCATCAGTGTCCCAAGGTGAGCCAGGTCTTTACCAGTGCCTGAATTAACACCACGTACTTATTCACGAGCTAGGGAGCTGATTGAGACGCACCCAGATTTTCAGAAAGTCATGTTGTGTATGATGGGCACAGGCTCTGAATTTTTTTTTTTTTTTAAGCTTCAAACTGTTATGATTTTATCCGGTCTGATCATATCAAACAGAACACATAGGCTATTGTTTTCAATGTTGCCTTCACTTCTTCCTGAGATACCTTCATCTGATCGATTTTTGAAGGCAGCATTGATGTATCCTTTGATATCCCACAATCCTGTGCGTTCCATTCTGTGATATTTAAGCTAAAAAATAAAGAACTGAAAAGTGCGATTGGTGGTCAGTTTGTGTGTAACTACATTTTTGACCACTTCTAATGTCATTTCTAGCGAGAAATTGCATATTCACTTAGTTATCACCAAAGCTTGCTCTATTTGGCTGTAGATCATTAAACCGTTGTGTTGTCGGTCCGAAATCCGTTTCGTGAGGAACCTCAAACGAAGTTTTCAAACGCAGCCAGCATAGTCTGATTCAAAAACAAGTCTTTTTATTGAATCAAAAACATGCAGAGTGAACCGTATAGTCTGATTCAGAAACAAATGACTCTTTTAAACCACTTCGGATTGAATGCAATATTTAGACGAACGTTGTTTGGTCCTGAGACTGCCACAGAAGCAGCCCAGTCTCATCTCAAGACGTCATATGTCTGACGCTTTTGACCATACGTCAACATCCGACGTTTTAGGGTACCCTTTAACGTCAGTATATGACGCTATGAAATCCTAACCCTACCCCAGACCTAAACCTACCCGCGTCATCTAACTGACGCTAAAGGTAAAGCGTCAGACATATGACGCCCTAGGATCGTCATCTAACTGACGTTAAAGGGTACCCTAAAACGTCGGATGTTGACGTATGGTCAAAAGCATCAGTCATATGACATCTTGGGATGAGACTGTGTTAACAGAAGATGTCACATTTATTAATATTTAGACCACCTCTATTATTGATCAGGATGTGAAGAGAGTTTCAACCAGTATAACAAAAAGTGTTCGTGAAAAACATTGCCCTTTAAGTCTAATGTGTGATCTTTTAGACATTCAGGCCCGGTTTCACAGACAGCGCTTAAGCCAGGATTAGACTTTAGTTCAATTAGGACATTTAAGTAGCTTTTATAAACGTGTCTTAGAAGAAAAAAACATTACTGGTGTGCATCTTGAAACAAAACAATGTCTCTGACATATTTTAAGATATGTCTCTGCAAGTTACTTTCAGTTAAAACTGAAATGCATTTTATTCAATGAGTTTTATTCAATGAATTTTTTCAATCATGCATTTTAGTCTGGGCCTGGGATTTGATGCCCTCTTTTTCTCTGACCACGTACAATTCGGCAAGTGTATGTTTTAAAATCTGTTCTGAAGTCTTGTGTTGTATTCCAGTCTTTAGATATGCTCCCCTCGGTACAGTCGATGAGCTGATCAAAACCACCTCAGAGCAGACCTCATACTCACCTTTGATCTGTTGAGACAGAAGATGGACATTGGGGTTTTAGAGATATTACTTAGTTAGCCGGAACGGTAATTGAGTTTCTTGAAGGGCCGATAACTAATTTTGAAGATTAATTCCATGCAGGAGTTTGAGGAAGGCTGTAACCCTCTTGTAAAAGTTTATTTAAGTCATAATATGATGTACGTGATGTGTGGTTTTTAGTGCTAATTACTTTCTTTGAAGGCTAACATTGAAGTAAGACTTTGTTCTTTGTCTTGACTAGTCAGACATGTCAGTTTAACCGAATGTGAAAATGATTGAATCGTGCAGGCGGTTTTCAGATTGCTGTTTACAGAGCCTATGCTGTATCAGTGACAGGTTGGATATCTCAAGACATCTATTTTAGGGTTCTCTCTCTCTCTCTCTCTCTCTCTCTCTCTCTCTCTCTCTCTCTCTCTCTCTCTCTCTCTCTCTCTCTCTCTCTCTCTCTCTCTCTCTCTCTCTCTCTCTCTCTCTCTCTCTCTCTCTCTCTCTCTCTCTCTCTCTCTCACTATATATATATATATATATATATATATATATATACACTCACCGGCCACTTTATTAGGTACCCCATGCTAGTAACGGGTTGGACCCCCTTTTGCCTTCAGAACTGCCTCAATTCTTCGTGGCATAGATTCAACAAGGTGCTGGAAGCATTCCTCAGGGAGTTTGGTCCATATTGACATGATGGCATCACACAGTTGCCGCAGATTTGTCGGCTGCACATCCATGATGCGAATCTCCCGTTCCACCACATCCCAAAGATGCTCTATTGGGTTGAGATCTGGTGACTGTGGAGGCCATTTTAGTACAGTGAACTCATTGTCATGTTCAAGAAACCAATTTGAAATGATTAGAGCTTTGTGACATGGTGGAAGTAGCCATCAGAGGATGGGTACATGGTGGCCATAAAGGGATGGACATGGTCAGAAACAATGCTCAGGTAGGCCGTGGCATTTAAACGATGCCCAATTGGCACTAAGGGGCCTAAAGTGTGCCAGGAAAACATCCCCCACACCATTACACCACCACCACCAGCCTGCACAGTGGTAACAAGGCATGATGGTTCCATGTTCTCATTCTGTTTACGCCAAATTCTGACTCTAACATCTGAATGTCTCAACAGAAATCGAGACTCATCAGACCAGGCAACATTTTTCCAGTCTTCAACTGTTCAATTTTGGTGAGCTCTTGCAAATTGTAGCCTCTTTTTCCTATTTGTAGTGGAGATGAGTGGTACCCGGTGGAGTCTTCTGCTGTTGTAGCCCATCCGCCTCAAGGTTGTGCATGTTGTGGCTTCACAAATGCTTTGCTGCATACCTCGGTTGTAACGAGTGGTTATTTCAGTCACTGTTGCCCTTCTATCAGCTCGAACCAGTCTGGCCATTCTCCTCTGACCTCTGGCATCAACAAGGCATTTCCGCCCACAGAACTGCCGCTCACTGGATGTTTTTTCTTTTTCGGACCATTCTCTGTAAACCCTAGAGATGGTTGTGCGTAAAAATCCCAGTAGATTAGCAGTTTCTGAAATACTCAGACCAGCCCTTCTGGCACCAACAATCATGCCACGTTCAAAGTCACTCAAATCACCTTTCTTCCCCATACTGATGCTCGGTTTGAACTGCAGGAGATTGTCTTGACCATGTCTACATGCCTAAATGCACTGAGTTGCCGCCATGTGATTGGCTGCTTAGAAATTAAGTGTTAACGAGCAGTTGGACAGGTGTACCTAATAAAGTGGCCGGTGAGTGTATATATATATACACTGTATATAGAGCAGGATTTTGATTTAGCTGTCTTTTAAGGCTATCAAATGTAGCTCTTCTATACAAATATAATGTCATTCTTCTTTAAACAACATGAATCCCGATGGTGTTTGAAATAGGATTAGTTATTGATACATATTTTCTAATTCAATTCCAGCTCACAAATTTCTTATTCATGTGGGCATATATTCTTTTATAATGTGTTTTATACTTAGAGAAATATTTCTCTCAGGCAATGCTGTAATTGATAAAGGAAACCTTGGTACTTGATACATTGCAAAAATATTGATATATAAAAAAAAATAACAACAGAGGCGAAACTATGCAGTTTGATTTCTATTTATTTAAGGAATCAACACAACCAAAAGCTGATATGTCCTACATTTTTTTATTGAATTTCTTTTTTTAGTGTCATTATTACATGATATGTTACATGTAACTATAGTAATAGCTATAAATTATACATATTTACATGACACGGTAACACTTTACTTAAAGGGGTGTGCATAAGACTGACATGAGACCTTCATAATCATGACATTGACACATGTCATGAATATGAAGGAGGTTTTATGCATATTTAACTGTCATTAAGTGTCATTCGCTCAATTATGAAATTTTTAATGCAAATATGACATTGTTTGAGATGTCTTTGTTATGACACGTTGACATAAACCAATACATCATAACCTGTCAGTGTTTTTGTCATGACAACCTGACATTACTAAGACAATACAACCTGTCATAAATATGTCATTAACATGACATAGCAGATTAATTATCAAACTTAAGAAACCACTTAGCTTTATGGGTTAACATTACATTAAACTGTCATGTGGTTGGTTTTGACATTGGCTGTCATGAGGCCATTATAACATTTTAATGACAAATTCAATTTGAACCACTGTAGTTGAGGTCAAGAAAAATATTCATGACACAATTATAATGGCCTCATGACAGCCAATGTCAAAACCAACCACATGACAGTTTAATGTAATGTTAACCCATAAAGCTAAGTGGTTTCTCAAGTTTGATAATTAATCTGCTATGTCATGTTTATGACATATTTATGTTGTATTGGTAATGTCAAGTTGTCATAACAAAGACATCTCAAACAATGTCATATTTGCATTAAAAATGTCATAATTGAGAGAATGACACTTAATGACAGTTGTCATAAACATGCATAAAACCTCATGTGTGTCATGTCATGATTATGAAGTGTCATGTCAGTCTTATGCACACCCCTTCAAGTAAAGTGTTACCCATGCAACTAACTCTAAACCAAACCAAACCCTAATCCTAACCTATAGTAAGAACATGTTACTAAAGAACAAAATGTATAATTACAGTGTAACAAACAAACCTTCAAATAAAAGTGTAACCTGAGTTTCTTCTGTAAAACACTGATTATATCAATCTGTAAAATTATTCTAAAATTATAAACTATTCAAAACTGCCATAAAATAGAATAGAAAGTTTGTGAGTCATAGATTTGTTTGTGAGTCATTGAGTCATGTTTTTGATTTATAAAAAAAAAAAAAACGAGAGTCATTTTTTTATGAATCTGACTTAAGTTGTTGTGTTATGTGTCTTTGATTCACTAAAAACAACCAGTTTAATTAAGAGAGTAAATTGTTTGTGAATCAGACTACACTGGTTGCTCTGTATGTTTTTGATTCACTAAAAAGAACCATTTGAAAAGAGTCATTTTAGTTAGCGCTTCGTGTTTTTGATTCACTGAAAAGAACCATTTGGTCACGTATTGGACTAAACTGTTTGCGCTGCATGTTTTTGATTCACTGAAAAGAGCCTGTTTAGATGAGTCATTCATTGGTGAATCGTGCTACACAGTTGTGTGTTTTTGATTCGTTGGAAAGAGCCAGTTTAAGGAATGACTTCCAGTGAGGTTTTTATGAACAGTTATTTTATGGTAAAGAGTATGTATGTACATTCTTCTGAATTTGCCCTTTTGGATTCTACGGAACAATTAACAGCATGCAAATTCATGACCGATTTCTATCATCTTTACATTCAGAGTCACACTTGTAAAACGCGTTAGCTGTTCGATGTCATTATAGGCTATGTAAATATCTGGATTACCTCTCTTATGAACTCATTGCCAATCAATTTCTTACTACGGATGAATACTTTAGCGCTGGACCGTCTTGCATTTTAATCTTATGACACTCCGGCTGCCTCACAACACACAGATATACATCCATGATTATGCATAAGTATATGGGCCTGTGGAAATTGTGTTAAAAGCATATCATTTTTTTGTCTCAAAGCACTCAATTTAAGATGAAAGGGAGAGGAAGAGAGATGGATTTATAATATTTGTAGATGTTTGATCTGAGGAACATTTTCTGCAATTTGCACTGACTTACTCTTTTTCATTGGTTTTCTTAAGGGCCTTATTGTGGCGGTTCTCTACTGTTTCCTGAACCAGGAGGTAAGTGGTTATTGATTGATAGCACCTCACACACTATAAACATACAAAATATGCACCAAAATTCAAAATATGCTGAAAGCCCTTATTTGTTTACAAACTGTAAAGTGCATGTGAGTCAGTTTTGTGTTTGAATGGAGATAATCAGCATTCTCAGAGGACTAAACAACATTTGTACTCAAAATCTTGCCCAATAAAATCCTTGACAAACATGTTTGCCAGTCTTTATTAATTTGATTAAGAAACAGATTGGGGAATTACAAGAGGACTGCTCAAAGGCCAATAAGCAATTATGGATGAATAATACAAATGCATTGCATTTGAGCCTGTGTTTACGGTAAAGCTGAGCTTCTTCTTGCATTTAATGAAACTCATTTCTAACAAAACCACTGTAGTTGTAGGGTTTTAGTTTCAACTTAATAATATAGAAATCTTTATAATCTAAGTTAGGTTATGTTTTGAGGGAAGTCTCTCCTGGGTTTTTGTGATTATATATCATGTGTTTGTTTGTCAGGTTCAGAATGAAATACGCTCACGGTGGCTTCGATATCAGGAGGGGAGTTACGTTGTCGTCCCTGTTGGAGCCAAAGGAAGTCAAATGGACACTCCGTTCTAGAGTCACTAAAACTCACCAGTGCCTCCAGAAAACACACACATCTGAACGAAACACTTTGCAAATCGTATTGCTCAGTTTACATGACAGCAAATGGCTTAAAGTGAGATCATCGCCATGAGCCTGCAACTTACAGTGACACCAAAAGGATTCTGACACTTTTAATAAGTGTTCAAATACTGAACATTTGGCCTGAATTACACACACACACACACACTCAAAACTATTTATTAGAGAGCACACTGGAATTTATCATTACAGAACTGCTGTCAAATAGCAGTGGCCAAAAGTAATGGCTGGTCTTGTGTAATTGACATCTTCACCCTTTATTCAAATACTATTAAAGATTTTGTAAGCATATTGTGTGTTGTGTTGTACATTGTATTGTATTGTAAGCAATTGTTTTATTTTGATAACGCAATGAAACATGCCGAAATGTTCGGTAAATAATTTTTGGCCAGGCTGTCATACTGTTACGCGGCAGCAAGGATGAAACCGAGAGTGAATCCAATCGCAAGCACATTTAATTAAACAGAAACAAACAGGAAATCCAGGGAACTCAGAACAAGACAGTAGTAACATTAAACAACAACCGACAGCCAACAACTGAAACACAGGGGTTTAAATACACAGACAAACAAGCTAAACAAGATAACAAGGGGGCGTGGTTAATAAGAGACACCTGGGGAGACTAATAGACATAGACGAGGAACACCTGTGGACACTGAGCAACAACATGAAAAAAGACAAGACACATGGCAGGATAACATGACAAACAGGGAATCACATGACAGACAAGAACAAGGAACAAAACACAAAACCCACACCGTGACATAGCCCCTCCCCTATGGGCGGCTCCCGACGCCCATAAAAACAAAAAACAATAGTTCAGGAGGGTGGTGAAGCGGAGGCGGTCTGGGGGAGGGATGGAGGGCCAGACCCGCACAGGGGAACGGGACCAGGACATGGTGGACCTGGGCCATGGAGCGTGGGCAGACCAGGCTGTGCAGGCGACCAGGGTGGAGCAGGCAGTTCAGGTGGCCAGGGCGGTGAAGACCCTTCGGGCGGCCAGGGCGGTGAAGACCCTTCGGGCGGCCACGGCGGAGAGGACCCTTCGGGCGGCCACGGCGGTGAAGACCCCTCGGGCGGCCACGGCGGTGAAGACCCCTCGGGCGGCCACGGCGGTGAAGAGGGCCCTGAGCTAAGCAGAACCAGCGGCGAAGGAAACTCTGCGCTGGACAGGACTGGCGCAGGATCAGTGAGCTCTGGTGCAGGATCAACGGCCCCTGGCGCAGGATCAGCAGGCTCTGGCGCCGGATCAGCGGGCTCTGGCGCAGGATCAGCGGGCTCTGGCGCAGGATCAGCGGGCTCTGGCGCAGGATCAGCGGGCTCTGGCGCAGGATCAGCGGGCTCTGGCGCAGGATCAGCGGGCTCTGGCGCAGGATCAGCGGGCTCTGGCGCAGGATCAGCGGGCTCTGGCTCAAGGGTGTGCGTAGCCCACACACACCACATGGCTGTGGCCATAATGGCCAGTGTTGCGGTCACTGAGGGCTCAGGCGGCGCATGCGTGGCGTGATCAGTCTCTGGCTGGGCAGACGTGACGTGAACAGTCTCTGGCTGGGCAGACGTGACGTGAACAGTCTCTGGCTGGGCAGACGTGACGTGAACAGTCTCTGGCTGGGCAGACGTGACGTGAACAATCTCTGGCTGGGCAGACGTGACGTGAACAGTCTCTGGCTGGGCAGACGTGACGTGAACAGTCTCTGGCTGGGCAGACGTGACGTGAACAGTCTCTGGCTGGGCAGACGTGACGTGAACAGTCTCTGGCTGGGCAGACGTGACGTGAACAGTCTCTGGCTGGGCAGACGTGACGTGAACCGTCTCTGGCTGGGCAGACGTGACGTGAACAGTCTCTGGCTGGGCAGAAGTGACGTGAAGCTCTGGCTGGACGTGGCTGACGTGAAGCTCTGGCTGGACGTGGCTGACGTGAAGCTCTGGCTGGACGTGGCTGACGTGAAGCTCTGGCTGGACGTGGCTGACGTGAAGCTCTGGCTGGACGTGGCTGACGTGAAGCTCTGGCTGGACGTGGCTGACGTGAAGCTCTGGCTGGACGGTCTCTGGCTGGACGGTCTCTGGCTGGACGGTCTCTGGCTGGACGGTCTCTGGCTGGACGGTCTCTGGCTGGACGGTCTCTGGCTGGACGGTCTTTAAGGAGGCCTTTCTCCTCCTCCTCCGGGCCACCGGACTCGGAACCACCGGAACTGGGACCAGTGTTGAAGGCCTGGCGTACCCCGGGCTGAAGCTCTCCAGACAACTGGAGAGTGCCTCTCTCCAATCCAGGCCAGAGAGATCGGGGAGCTCCCTAGGGTTGACCGCCTTAGCCCCCAGCCGGTAACACAATTTTATAGCCTCATTCCCTAGGGTGCATGAGGCAGCAAGTGCAGCAAACCCCCAGGTAAACTGAAACAAATCCGGGCTGTTCAGGGCTAAGGCCGCGGTTTTCCCAGCAAACTCCCGGTCCATGCTGGGAAGATCAGACGAGATCCGTGCTGCTGGATTCATTGGCGGTCGGTTGTTCTGTTACGCGGCAGCAAGGATGAAACCGAGAGTGAATCCAATCGCAAGCACATTTAATTAAACAGAAACAAACAGGAAATCCAGGGAACTCAGAACAAGACAGTAGTAACATTAAACAACAACCGACAGCCAACAACTGAAACACAGGGGTTTAAATACACAGACAAACAAGCTAAACAAGATAACAAGGGGGCGTGGTTAATAAGAGACACCTGGGGAGACTAATAGACATAGACGAGGAACACCTGTGGACACTGAGCAACAACATGAAAAAAGACAAGACACATGGCAGGATAACATGACAAACAGGGAATCACATGACAGACAAGAACAAGGAACAAAACACAAAACCCACACCGTGACACATACAGTGAAATTATGAACACATGCAAAAAGCAGAGAGAACCAAGGGTATTATTAAAAACTGATGATGTTCTAGTCAGTATGCTTTTCGGATTTTTGTTTTTTTATGCATTTTTTTACACAGTTAAATAGAACCTGTAGCTGTATAGTTTACCTTTTCAGATGGTGTTTTATTCTTCCCTAATCTTTAAAGTGTTTTCCACATATTTTGATGGTTTAATCGAACTTGTAGGGTCATTAAAAACAAATGCACCTCAGGACATCACTTTAGGCCATACTGTGTGTGTGTGTGTGTGTTAAGTATAGTATTTAACATTTGTATTATTGATAGATCCGTGGATTTCTGAGTGAGATATGGTAACCAAGTTGTCACATGTTTTTGATAACAATTTCTGCTGGCCAAAACAGTGGTTTGATATTTTTGTTACCTTTTTAATTTTATTTAATGGGTTGTTTTGTGTTTCATAATTGCATTACTGTTTAAATTTAGCTGAAAATCCCGTTAAATCCTTCCCATTGGGACAGTTTACCCTATAGTGTAACAACATGCCATGCGATTTGTGCAATATATGTTTAAGAAACTGTATCTTTTTTCTGCAATAGTTCAAATATTCAAAGGCATCTTTGTAGCAAAGACTGATATGTGTCTATACAGGCATTGACTTAGAAATATTAATTTGAGCTAAAAGTGTAACGACTAGGCCTGTTTTCTTTTTCTATTCTGCCGGTTGATTCTTTCTTGGTCACTCAAAACTGGGAATGTTGCATCTACTGAGAACAGAAATAGTTTTCTCAGTTTATTGGCAGTGTCTCTGCAGAATAGAGCATTAGATGTGGACGTGCTGATAGTGAGAGCTGTCTTATATTCCTCAACATATCAGACAAGTGATGAAAGCTTCTGCTGTTCCTCCATACTCAAGTAATTCACCTATTCTGAACATGTCAAATGTGTCGAACTGTAAATGTGTAAATGTTTTCTCTTCTCGTGTCCGATTGTCTCTGCTTGTGTCCTCTTCTTGTCTTGTCTCTTCTCATCTTTGCTTGTTTCTTCTGGTTTCTTCTCTGCTCATCTCTTCTTTTCTCTTCATGTCTCTTCTCTGCTTGTTTCTACTCGTCTCTGCTCATTTCTTCTTTTCTCTTCTTGTCTTGTCTCGTCTCTTCTCTGCTCGTTTCTTTTCACCTCTTCTGTATCTTCTCAGGTCGTCTCTTTACTTCTCTTCTCGTCTTTTCTCTTCTTGTCTCGTCTGTATTATCTTGTCTTTGCTTGTTTCTTCTGGTCTCCTCTCTGCTTGTCTCTTTACTTGTCGTTTTGTCTCTTCTCTTCTTGTGTCCTCTCTTCACTGCTTGTCTCCTCTCACCTCTGCTCGTTTCTTCTCGTCACTTCTCATCTGGTCTGGTCTCTTCTCTTCTCACCAAATGTGCATTTATACTTTGTTGCCTATAAACAGCTAGTAATTCTTTTTTGCATAAATATTATATCCATAATGTATGTATGTCCAGCTGTAATGCAGTATTTTGTTTCCACATTTTTGAGTGGCCTTAAGTGTATTAATACATCAAATCATCAGAGTGCATTACAGAGATGAAAATATTACATAATTTTATGATGCTTTACCTGTGGAATGGATTTTATTTATTTATTTTTGTTGCTTTAGTGCAGTTAAGCTGATGTCCTACATGTGCTTATATGTTTGTATATGCATAAGCAAGCTGGCATAATGAGTACATGTAGCTATTTTTGAGCTCAAGTGCTATTGATCTTTTGCTTTAATGTCTGACATATAATTACTTTGTATTAAAACAGGAAAAACATACATAAATGACTTCATGTTCTTCAGAGATCATTAAATGACAGCTGGATTTGTCCTTCAGTAATAAACAGTGACCTCTGCTGGCCAAATCATATGAGTGAATTGATACTTTCAGATGGTCAGTTCAGTGAACCGATTCACTGCGAGTTTAAAGGGACAGTTCACCCAAAAATTTAAATTCTGTCAAGTTGTTCCAAATCTGTAACAATTTCTTTGTTATGCTGAACACAAAAGAAGATATTTTGAAGAATGTTTGTATCCCCCCCCCCCCCCATTGAACGTCAAAGGGGCCCATCAACTGGTTATCCGACATTCTTCAAAATATCCAACTGGTCATCCGACATTCTTCAAAATATCTTCTTTTATGTTCAGTTTAACAAAGAAATGTATACAGGCTTGGAACAACTTGAGAGTGGGTAAAGGATGACAGAATTTTCATTTTTGAGTGAACTATCCATTTAACAACATATTAGTCTCCTAATAATATCAATTGGTGATGTTAATTATTAGATGTAGGCTATTACATTTTCCTCAATATTTTTAACAACAAAGTCAGTAGCCTACAAACGCTTTGTGAATGGGTTCGACCAACACATTCAAAAGAATCGGCTCAGCATTAGCTTGTTAATAATATTAAATAACAATGCCAATTATTAGTAATAAGTTCACAATATTAGTCTTCGTAGATTTACTATTTGCGATTTATGAATCGATTGG